CCTGCTGCACTAATTTTTAAAACTCTAACAAAGTGAATAAAATTTTAATGTAAGATAGTTCAAAGATGTTTACTCAAAATTAAAAAAAGAAATACCATCTGGGTTTCTTCAAGCTGACGGTATCGTACTGCCTACCTCTGACTTCCAGCTGCCTTACTCACTGGGCGTACAGGGCCAATCAAGTCTACATGCAAGATCTGTAAGTATCTGACGAGTACAATTCATATTAGAAAGGTTCGTTAAATCTGTCCCTCTTATGAGTTTATTTTAACAAGGCTTATGTGTGGGGGAGCCATCAGGAGCCAAAGCTGAAAGGACCCGAATTGTTCAGCTTCAGTAATGAACTCCAACGGATCCTGAGGCCACTATAAGCTTAATTTCTAAAGCCCCTCACAAAGGAGAAAATGCTGGTTTTGACTGAATAACCATGTTATCACTTGCAAAAATCACTTTACGATGCTCCTAAACCAGCTATGGTTTTGAGCAGCTTCTGAGATCTTTGAGAAAGCTTGCATATTTTACAGACAGATAAAAATGTAGCTTCCAACAAAACTGTGCAGCAACAGCTTCGCGACTGAAGTCATCCATCATAGATTGCATTTTTAACATTGCATGCACAATATCGTATTTCTCTGCAAGCTGTTACACTGGTCAAGTTAGAGGCAGGTATGTATCACCTAATTGTAGCTACACTATTCAGTACACCAGTTATTTCAGGTGATTGGAAGGAACAAGGACAGCAAAACAAAGAGTACCGGTAGACTTATCAGTGATAGCTTATTCACAGGAGGCAACAATAATCTTAAATTTTAAAATTCAATTTCATGATTTTGGCAAAATGCACAAATTTAGCCTATTATAATATAAATTGGTCATTTTCTTGGGCACAGATAAAAGTGTTTGGTAATACATCAGTGATGACTACCTAGGGGAAAAAAGCTCAATAAAATGTAATTAAGACATACCACTGTTTCCTCCAGCCCTTTAAGATCTTCTCTTGCTTGTTCCCTTTTATCGTTAAGGAGTCTAGAAAGATCACAACATTAAACACAAATCAAAAATGTTGAAGTCATGTAAGACTGAAGAGAATCAATCAACATTCAGTTTGAGTAGGACATCTGCAGCTGTGAGCACATTGTACATCTCTTTGCACCTGTAATTACGCTTTGGACTGTCCCGAACATGCAGGTTTCTGACATGGAATGGCTGAGACACCACCTCCATTTTTTGTGTCCACACATGAAATTTTTATCTCCCATTTCCAGGAGAAGCTTTTACTCAGATGTCTGATCTATTGCCAGCCCAGCCCACTCCCCAAACCCCAACTGCTTTCTTGTTTGTTTTTGTTGTTCATAAATAAATTCAGGATTTAACACTTGCTACAATATTTCATAAAATCAGAGCTAAAAAAAATAATAATTCAGGAAGTATCAAATCCACTATTAAAAAGCCTATGATGTAAAAATGTGGTAATCATTTTATAACTGTATGTTGGCTTTGTTACTGAAATGATATTTTCAGCATGAATATTTCAACACAAATGCTTCTCACTAGGACATTTCCCGTGGACACAATAGAAGACACTATATTCAGGGACACCAGATGAGAAAACTGTTGACTTACATGAGCTTTTCCAGTTTCATTTCTCTTTCCTGGTCCTCAATTTTTAATTTATCATAATCAGCACTCAGTTTTTCTTGTTCCAGTTGCAGCTTCTGATTCATACTGAAATGCGAAAGAAAAAGTCAGTACAGCTCAGTCCTGAACGCCGTAAACAAGGGTGGGTAAATCTCCATGAACAAAACTGGGTTGGACAGAGAAAATAAAGCTGTAATTCTCTACTGAAAAATTCTGAAAGTAATTAAGCATAAAGAATCTGAAGAACAATCGCTTTTATGTGAAAATATTGGAGAATTAAAAACAGTGGTGCTTGCTTCCTTTACTTTAAAGGACACAAACTGTTCGTGCAATTTTTCTGTCCTGCTGCCCCATCTTTCTCATTTCTCTATTATTAGTCTTTGGCCACACAATAAATATGATGACAGGATGAACGCTGTATCAGGATTGCCTTGATTTTATGAACACTGACAAAAAGAAGAGTACAAGAGCAGAGAACTCAGTTTTTCAAGTGCTAGAGTATCTGACTAACAGAGTTACATTGCTGTGTCAGGCAGAAATATTCACGGTGTGAAAATGGGACACACTCGAGTCACCCAGACTCGCAGAAAGTCTGTGGCAGGACCAGTTGCTAACAAGAGGCCCTCAAAACCTTTATCTTTTCAAATCTATTCTCCTTCAAGCTCCTCTTAGCTACTGACCTGCAGGTGTGTAACATTATGCTTTCTTTTTCCTCTCTATAATTTTATAGACTTGTTAAAGCTCCACAATAAAGAACTAGGCACTGTAATCCACTGCGCAAACTAATTAGAGGGTTGGCTGTTGCATGTAAGGACAGTACCTTCTGTAAGACATCAAAATATATAGACATCAATTAAAACTAAAAAAAAACCAACCCCAAACCATCCCTACAGTGTCATGGAACAGGACAGGAACGGAGAAAGCAATGGAGCGAGTGAACATACTCTCTGATTTCATCAATTATTTTCTGCTTCTCTTCAATTTCATCCCTCAGCCTGGACAGCTGCTTCTGGTGGGCTTCCCTGTGACTCTCCATCTGCTGCTCCAGCGCCTTCTGCAGAGTGCAAAAACCAGAGCCATACGTGAAACAGAAATCAAGCAGCACACAGCTAAGCTTCCATCAGGTGTGTTAGCAAAATCAACCTATCTTTCTGGATTTGAGTGATGCTTATCAGACCAGGTTAATTCAGGAGTCGGCCTGGTAGGTCTTTCTATGATTACAAAACTGTGCATCTACTCATGCAAGCATTTAATTTTGACATTTTTTAGCAACAGATATACACCAATTTCTACTAATTTTCTTACAAAAATTACTGCATGTGGCAACCAGGGTCTTAGCACATCAAGTGCCAAGAATTATGCTGTTTTTACCAGTCCTCTCTTATTTCACCTGTTTATTCACCAAGAAAATGTATGTACAGCTATACCTCTGACAGAAGTAAAACCCGAAACACCCTCCCCCTCTCTGAGAATTGTTTATCCATTGCCCCGTTATTTAAATTCTACATTAGGTATATCTCAAGTAGTAAGAAAAACTCAATGCATCTCCTTAGATTGCTAATAAAAGATTTGCTTTGTTTTCTTCCAACTGTAAGGAATAACTGGACAACTGTTTTAATACTTTAACTTCTTATAATAGATGTAGAAGTTCTGAAGCTGACAAACCTCTATCACTATCCTTGTAAAATTCTATTTTTCCTTTTCTGCAATTTGCCACCCCATCAGAAACACAACTCACACAATATTGCCTAACATTTCTTCTTTGCATTCCAAAGGAAGAAGAAAATACTGGAAAACAGATTTATGTTTCATTATTATTTCTAGGAGGTAGTCAGAATTCCTGAAAACAGATTTATGTTTCATTGTTATTTCCAGAAGATAGTCAGAATTCTTGCCAAACTATTTGGGAAAGTGGTCTGGCCTCTTTTTTTTATCAAATTTCAGTACCTAAATTATATTAAACCCAGTGGCCTGATTCACTACTTAGCAAATTGAATTTCAGCAGAGTTCCACTGGCAAAAAATTAGACTAACATAGAGGTGAATCAGTATCATTTTTCAACCATACATAACAAAACTCTTCTCAAGTATGGATGCAATATATTGGCTCTTACATTTTGGTTATCAATTTGTGTGATTTGAGGACCCCAGGCATCTCTGACACGGCACACACAGTGCGCTGCACCTCCCTACTCTTTGAAGCTGGCTCAGCTTACACGCTGGTCTCGGCAGACACGCTCACCTCAGACACTCAGGCTATAAATTACTTTCAGACACTCCGGCTATAACTTACTTTTTTCCATAATCTGGTCAACAACCTCAATACTAGCAATTTCTCTAATTTCACATTGCGAAGGTCACTCAATTACATGAGGTCAGGTTTTCTAACAGAGGCCGGCAATTCTGGCACAGGCTGGAAGTGTTTTCTAAAAGCACACAATGCGTACAGGAAGACAAAATTACACCCTAATTATCAGCTTAATGAATGATCTCACTGAGAAATGCCGCATGCCATACTACCTTCATCTCCTCTGCATCCTGAAGCCGGGTCAGATGTTCTTTCTCCTTATCCTTGAAACTGACTTCATGCATTTTTTCTGTTGGAGACAGTTGAGAATTAACCACGCAGTTCCAGGACGTGCTCCATCCAGTCATTTAAAAAAAAACCCACAACAGTTCCTCTTTTTGTAGGGGGTAGCAGGATCAGGGGAGACAGCTTTGGAGGGGCAGAGACAGCCATGGTTTGCAGGACCCAACCTGTGACCATCCTGCCCAAACCCCCTTTTCCTTTACTAACAGCCCACGTTGTTTTCAGCCCACCCAGCACCTTTCCAACCTCCCACTGTCTCCTTAGAACCCTACTTATCACAATCCTCCTTGTCCCTTTTCACTTTCTGCTGGGAAATGGGGCCTCCAGAACCAGGTTAGCTCTTGTAAGTGGGGTAGGAAAATCAGGAGATGGAATAAAAATTCTATTCTAAAAACGTAGGAGATGTTAAATAAAAATAAAAAAAAAAGTCTTGTCACCACCTGCTGCTCCCGGAGTCAGAGAAGACCCCTTGTGCAGAAATCCAGAATAATGTTAAGGCTACTAGGTCACATTGTAATTTTACATAAACAAGGAGTTTAACAACGCTGCAAAAATTGCTTTTGATGCACATTTTCCACATTAAATCAGAAGGGGAAAAAAACAGCAATTCTTAAAATGAAGTCAGCTGGATCCTATATAGGAGCTAGGAAACACACACCTTTACTTGACCCTGGGGGAAGCAGCTTCCTTTGAACAGGGCAGGGCATGTGCCAGAGGGACAACCAAAATTAGATGGATATCCAAGAATTTTACAGAATAGAGATTTAGCCAGATTAATTGGTGCTGTTTGGCTCAAGTTGTTTGTGGTTTGTTTTTTTTTTAATTTTTATTTCTCACATAATTAAAGCACAAGGTGAAAAGCTTTTGATTCTTTTGAAAAATTAAGTTTCTCTGTATTTTGTGAATGGACAAGGCTGAAAAGGATAATTCCAGTTTTATCTAAAGTGTAGTATACTACAATGAAGTGCAATGTGCTAAATATTCTGAATCACAATTTTATGTCTTCACTGCAAAACACTAAGAGGACAATAAAAGGTTATAGGACTACTGTACATACAATACTTCAGCCAAAACTGAATTTTCTAAGATAAAAGAAACAACAACCACAAGATGCAATGTTGTACCTTGAGCACGTAATTTGGCAAGTTCTTCATTGAGAGAGTCCTGGGACTCTTCCAGCTGCCTTCTCTTCTGCTCCATATTTTGCATGTAGTCTGTAAGGGACTTGATCTTTGCTTCATGCTTTAAAGACATGGAGAATAGCAATGAGATGTGAGTACCACAGCTTGTTACCTAGGAATACAGGTACTGTCCTACATAAAGGAAGAAAAATAGAAAGCTCTCCACATCCAGAGCTGATGACTAGGAGAAAATACAGCAAAAGATCTGCAAAGGAGCTAATGGACCAAAACAGACTGGATTTTTAAAGGCCACACTTAGTAGCCCAAAACATATACTGAACAGTGCAGGGGTTAATTCCAAAACATCATGGGAAGCTCACGGCTTGGTGTTAAACAAACAACAGCAGCTTTCCAAAACCAGCTGAGCACTGGGCTTCTGAGGTGGCTTCCTGGACGCTTCAGCCTCCAGAAGCTCAGAGGGACTTTCCCCAGCCATCCTGATGATTTCTTTCTTGCTAACATCCTTTCGAAGTAGAAGGGCTTACGTTTAAATAGAAAATAGTGAAGTATGAAGAAAACATCAAAAATCGAATCAAAATTTTCTAATTTGAGGAGAAAATTAAGACACTGTCTGGGAATTACTACATCCTATTAATAAGGCCACTGAAGCACTTGTGGTTCACTGTTCTTAAAGTTCACCTTGGCAGAGAGGGGTTGAGACCTCTGGGTTGGTGCTACTGTAAAGATCAGACTTAGAGAGCAGTGATCCTTATCAGAAACAAAAATAGTTCAGACCCTCCTGGCGCCAAGGTCTCCAGGAAGGGAAGGGTGCATGCCCGAGATGCACGCTTTGGCCAATAAGTCCTTCAATAGACTTCTAAATCTGACAAGAAATTTAGTCAACTCCCAGCTTGGCTCCAAGTGTTCTGGCCCCAAAACGGAGAGTCTTGGTATGGCTCACAGCAGTGATGCACCATTTTATGGATCGGCTTAACACATTAACTGTGTAAAGCTGTGATATGGCATTGCCATTGGTAGTACCAGGCCACCGCCTTTGGACTGGGTTTTTCAAGGCCTCAGGACTGCGGCTTTGCTCTCTCTGAGCTCTTCTTGACCTGCCTGCAGCTTTTTTAATTTTACTTGGTGGATTTATAAGGTGTGTTTGCCCATTAACAAGATTTTGAGCATAACAACACCCAGCTTCCTCCCGGTTTTGAATACAGAGGGGCCTCAATATGCACCTAGCTGCAGAGCTTCCAAAATGCCAAGGCCAGGTGATCACCCGATTAGGAGTTACTTCTGCTTGGTTTCTTCGTCACATGAACATACAGTACAAATGTAGGAGAAAAAAAGATGTGGCTTTGCAGTCTCACCTCTTATATTGCCTTTTTCCACAAAGATAAGTCTCTCAAATCCTAAACCTCCATTCTCCTCTCTGTAAATAGGTACTGAGGACAAGTTAGGTCACGCTTGTGACAAACTCTGAGCATTCCAGAAAGCTCTCCACATCCAGAGCTGATGACTAGGAGAAAATACAGCAAAAGATCTGCAAAGGAGCTAATGGACCAAAACAGACTGGATTTTTAAAGGCCACACTTAGTAGCCCAAAACATATACTGAACAGTGCAGGGGTTAATTCCAAAACATCATGGGAAGCTCACGGCTTGGTGTTAAACAAACAACAGCAGCTTTCCAAAACCAGCTGAGCACTGGGCTTCTGAGGTGGCTTCCTGGACGCTTCAGCCTCCAGAAGCTCAGAGGGACTTTCCCCAGCCATCCTGATGATTTCTTTCTTGCTAACATCCTTTCGAAGTAGAAGGGCTTACGTTTAAATAGAAAATAGTGAAGTATGAAGAAAACATCAAAAATCGAATCAAAATTTTCTAATTTGAGGAGAAAATTAAGACACTGTCTGGGAATTACTACATCCTATTAATAAGGCCACTGAAGCACTTGTGGTTCACTGTTCTTAAAGTTCACCTTGGCAGAGAGGGGTTGAGACCTCTGGGTTGGTGCTACTGTAAAGATCAGACTTAGAGAGCAGTGATCCTTATCAGAAACAAAAATAGTTCAGACCCTCCTGGCGCCAAGGTCTCCAGGAAGGGAAGGGTGCATGCCCGAGATGCACGCTTTGGCCAATAAGTCCTTCAATAGACTTCTAAATCTGACAAGAAATTTAGTCAACTCCCAGCTTGGCTCCAAGTGTTCTGGCCCCAAAACGGAGAGTCTTGGTATGGCTCACAGCAGTGATGCACCATTTTATGGATCGGCTTAACACATTAACTGTGTAAAGCTGTGATATGGCATTGCCATTGGTAGTACCAGGCCACCGCCTTTGGACTGGGTTTTTCAAGGCCTCAGGACTGCGGCTTTGCTCTCTCTGAGCTCTTCTTGACCTGCCTGCAGCTTTTTTAATTTTACTTGGTGGATTTATAAGGTGTGTTTGCCCATTAACAAGATTTTGAGCATAACAACACCCAGCTTCCTCCCGGTTTTGAATACAGAGGGGCCTCAATATGCACCTAGCTGCAGAGCTTCCAAAATGCCAAGGCAAGGTGATCACCCGATTAGGAGTTACTTCTGCTTGGTTTCTTCGTCACATGAACATACAGTACAAATGTAGGAGAAAAAAAGATGTGGCTTTGCAGTCTCACCTCTTATATTGCCTTTTTCCACAAAGATAAGTCTCTCAAATCCTAAACCTCCATTCTCCTCTCTGTAAATAGGTACTGAGGACAAGTTAGGTCACGCTTGTGACAAACTCTGAGCATTCCAGAATCACAGAATGGTCAGGGTTGGACAGGCCCTCTGGACACCATCCAGTCCCACCTGCCAGAGCAGGGGCACCTCCAGCAGTGGCACAGCACGGTGTCCAGGCGGGTTTGGAATGGCTCCAGAGGGGGAGACTCCCCCACCTCTCTGGGCAGCCTCTGCCACTGCTCTGCCGCCCTCAAAGGAAAGAAGTTCCTTCTCATGTTTAGATGGAACTTCCTACGTTCAAGCTTGTTCCCACCAAAGCTCTCTGTGACTGCAGTGCAACTACAGTCAAAGAGGACAAACACCCCAGAGAGGCAGCCTGGCTGCTTTCTGCTCACTCCTTCACCAGGTCAGTGTAAGCCAACGTGATGGATGAGACTGTCCTACCACCGGCTGCCAAGACCTTTATTCTCAGCTCTGAGTTCCTGCTCCTCTCCTGCCAGCGGAAGCATGCATACAGCTGCTTTGCGAGCCAAGCCTTAATCTGCTTTACTAACGTAAGTTCCCAAGGAAAGGGAGCAGCATAGGTTGGCAGGATGACTTCCTTCAGTGGCCATGCCAGCCCAGGGTTTACTTTAAGACAGGACAAAAAGTATAGTTTTTACTTAATATTTCTGGACAGGCAATACCCTCAGGATTCCAGGCTCCCCTTAATACTAAGAAGCACGCTTACAGCTACAGCTTTATTAAGTAGAACTTAGTAAAGACATTCTGCTACAGGACAAGAGACTTATTGTTCCAGGTTTTCTTAGAATAACTGGTAGCAAAAGAAACACAGTAAACTGTATCATCTCCTTCCCTTCCTTCACATGTCCACTTCAAAGCAGTTGAGACTGTCATAGCAGTTAGCACCCTCTCCCGCAGCAGGCTGCGGAGAGCATCACTGCTTGTAACTCACCACCCACCGTGAAGCCCTCCTACCTTTGAATTTCTAACTTATATGGTAATTTTTCCATAACATATTATATCATATATTCCTGCCCAGTTATCTTGGTAGCATACTGACAGACCAGATATGGGGGACTCTCCGAATATTTTGCTAGTGAACCATACAATCACTGCTTCGTTTCTCAGGTTGCTTTTAAAGTGAAGGTACAAGATATAAATTCGTGCTGAGGAAATAATTCCAAGGAGGATTTTCAGTATTATGCCATTTTGAGATCTACAGCAGGACACAATTTTGCCACAGAATGTGCTGAAAAACATTGAGGGGGAGGAATGGGAAAAGAGAGAAAAAACAAAACAGACCGGAGAAACACCACTCTACTCCCTGAATTCTCATTTCTTGCTCCTAGCACACACATTTCATGAGGAAAGAGGCTGAGAAAGTCATCAAACCTTGCTGCAAAGGGACAAGGAAGGAGGAACAAACATACTTGTGAAATGAGGAGCTGGCAAGCTGCAAGCTCCCTCTCGCTGGCATTCATCTTCCTGTTGGAATCTATCTGGGCGCTCTCCAACTGCTTGCTGCGGTTCACCAGAGACTTCACCTCAGACTTCATCTTGCTGATGTAAAGCCGTGCCATGGTGAACTCCTCCTCAATCACCCCGTTCACATCTGCTAACTAAACACACAGAAGATTGCAATCTTGAAGGTGTGGTTCTTACAGGTAAGTCAATGCAAAGCAGTCTTCCTGCTGTGAAACTCGTGTCTAGAGCTAGGAAGCACCCACAGACCTTCACGTCACCTTAAAGATGCTATACCACTCTGTTTCTTACAATCTTCACTGATAAGCCCCAAAAGTGAGAAATTAAGTCTTGCACTCACAGTGTGCTTCATCAATTTAGTGGTTCAACATCTAAAGTAATGAAGGCTGCCATAAAGGCAAGAGCATATTTTGGAGAAACCTTCTCATGTCATCAGAACAGGAAATTTTCCTTCTTTCAAGCAGCTGAAAGCTGAGGAGCATTTTCAAAATACTCCTTAAAGAAGTCTCCTCTTGAAGGGTTGTGCTTCTTCAATAAGGAGCTGTAAGACAGACACAGGTCTGGAAATCTCACCTGGCAAGAGGAAAGTAACTGCTCTCATCTGTAAATATGAGTGTCATTCTATTTATACATCATTTCCTTCCCTGCTTTAACATGGTGCCTTATACTTGCATGTCTCTCTCTTCATCCTTTTTCAACTACTTAATTCATGTAACCACTGACGAGCTATGAAGATTCTCGTTGAGTGAGCATATGGCCAGCAACTTCATCTGCTTTTTGCCTTTTTCCCAGCACCGCCAAGGGGAAGGTAACACATGCTGTAGCTTCTCCCAACAGCCTAAAAAACTCGACTGCTTCCAAAACCCTCAGTCTGGTCTGAAACTAAACACACTTTGAGAAGATGCTAATTGCCAACAAATTTGAAATTATTCTTCTAAAAGCTTTTCAATCTGGCCTTATTTACGCTGACAGCTGTCCTGTAAAATGCTGACATCTTAGTTACTATAAAAATTTGTATCAAACGGACTCCACCTCCATTTTCAAAGATTTCCTCCTATAGTTCCTATTGCAACGGCCACCAGAGGTTGCTGTAACATCTAGCAAAGCCTGGTCTTGTCTGGAATCTGCATAACCACATCAGACAACAGGGATCGTGTCCCAGTAAGAGCAGGCTGGAGCATCTGCTGATCTAAGGGGGCTTTAGCTGAATATCAACAACTCTCAGTCTCCACCTGCATATACTCACTTTTGCCTTTTACCTCTGAAAAAGTTCGGGAAAGATCATTACTGAAAAACTGAGAAGTGAACAAAAAGCAAGAAAATGGAATACATTTAAAGTAAAATACATACATCTTGAGAATCAATTTCTTAACCAGTCTTAGCAACTGCTCTTTTTCACACGGTGCTAATGTCATCTTATCTGTCTGTTTCAAGTCACCAGGAAGATTTTCCAGGCCATGAAAAGTTTCCATCAGAGATGTGCTATTTAACGACTCTACAAATACCTTGCCTGAGGCTTAGCATTTTGTTCATCTACAACACGAGAAGCGTGATAAAGTGAGTAGCCACCTCCTTTACCATGTCTGTAAACCCAAGAGCCAGACAGAAGACAAATTTCAAAGCAAAGCTGGCCAAAATTTGTGCCACCTCCAGGCATGTTCAGATGTCTATTGCTTCAACCACCTTCACTCCCATTCTTACCTCAGAGGAAAAGTCTATTGCTTCAACCACCTTCACTCCCCTCTGCAATTGATCCTCTGCAATTTCTCCTTTACAAAGGTCATTAGTCGATACACAAAAGTGAAGCTGGTCCTACTGTCATGTAAATGTTTATGTGGTATCTAGCACAAATTTACCAATGCTGGAAATCAGTACATTTAAAGCATCTTGTGTTCAAATGCACAAACAAAAGTGTGGGCTCTTCGATGAAGCCAGCCACTGTCGAAAGGCAATAAACACCAGAATGCAGAAAATACAATTTCCACGCAGATCTTTTTATTCAGGTGCCCTGGACAGCCATCAGTACAGACCTCTGGCTTTGAGAACTGATCACCTTCAGCTACACAACAGTTTTAGGACAAACTTGAAACAAAAAGGTAGCCACACAAACCCCAAATCTCACGAATAAAGATTATTCAGATTCTGGGAATACCGGATCATGCCAGCTACTGGAGGAGTAGGGCTACATGTGTATTGTTTTGGGGGGAACTCAGTCCCCCCTTACCCCCCTTAATAAATGCATCAACACACAGATGGGCTGCGTTCGTCTGGCCTCAAACACTGAGCTGGGAATAAAAGTGGTATTTGTGTGCGCAGACACTGACCATCTCTGACCAGACAAAGATCTCTTCAGTATTTTGCTCTGCCCCCCAGCGAGGATTTCAACCGCAGCGTCCTGGGAGGAGGACTGCTGTATCACACATATTCCATGTCAAATATTTTTATACTGCAGGAGGTGTGGGGGGCAAGCAATAAAGATAGCCAACTTACTGTTTTAACATCGTTAGTACCAATGATTCCTCCAATCTCTCCCAGGTCCTTAAGCAGCAAGTTCAAGATTTCTGTAGCTCTCTTCTTCTGATGGTTACTGAGCTCCTGCAACTGGCCCAGCTCCCTCTGGGTCGCTGTCAGGGCACTCTGAAAAGGTTTAAAAACAAAAGTTACTGTCCCCTCTGCAGACTGAGTGTCAGTTCTGTGATATCTACGTCACATGGTATCGTCTTGTATTTTCCTGAACATGCCTACTGGCTCAAAGGACTGACACGTACAATTCCACCTTGCCATAATCCACTTTCACAACTCACTTGCTAACAAGGCTACTTTAGATCTATTAAATGTAGTAAATCCTGTAAGAATCTTATTTGCATAATACATGGCCAAGAAGGTTAATCACAGAGAAAGAGGTATAGAAGGATATAAAACTCTTTTTTTTTTTTTTCAAATGGATTTCATAGTAATCTGTTTTACTGAAGCAGGTAACAAAGTATTCCATGAAAACAGACCTGTTAACAACAGCTTCCTCAATTTGTATAACGAATTACAGAACAAGGACGTATTAAGCTAGTAAGCCAATCTTGATTTTTCTCAGATGAGATTTTTTTCTCTAAGATTAGTAAACAACAGCTGAAAAAGCTGATTTTTTTTCTGATTTCTTCCTTGAAATCTCCTGACCCTGTACAAAATTCCTGCTCCACAGCGCAGAGTCCAGAAAATTGTAAAATACTGCAATTTGTGTAATGCAGATTTTCACATGTTTCTTGGCATAATACAATTTTTAAATAACCAAAACACAGAACAGCCAGTTCTCACATTCAGTTCAGTTGCTGCTATGGTGTGCAAAATACAGAGGTTGCCAGAGTGCCACAATCTGCCATCAGCTTCCACAGAGCAGTTTCTGAATTACCTTAATTTTATCATTTAATTAAGATAGAAGAGAGAGGGCAGCATCAGCAAATACGGATCTTTTAACAGCTTCTCTGCAACTCCAGTTTTTAAACTCCATGATAACATACTTGGCAGCAGGATCTGAAAGATTCTTGAAATGGCAGAGGCCAGCAGTTATCTGGGAATGCCTATGGAAATCTTTAGGGGAGGCGCAGAGTTAGGGGCGAGGAGGGAACCAGCACTATAAACCGCTCGCTCTTACACTCTTTTGTGCCAGCTCATCAGCCAGCTGCTCGTTGGCCCTTGTTTTGTCCTCCACTTCTTGGGATTTCTGGTCATAATTGACAGCTAATTCTTCCAGGGCTTGAAGGACCTCTTTCACTTCATCTTTCGCTGCTTCGTTCTCAATCTGGAGACGGGTCAGCTCCTCTTGAATTTTCTCATAATCTCTCCTAGTGGAGGCCAAAAGCTGGAAACCAGATATCACAGAAGCGTTACGTCACCCAAGAACTCATTCAAAAGACAACATTGAAAAGGGCAAAAAACGGACAAAAAGAGTGTGAGCACGCAACTGTGTGTGCAAGGAAAAGAAAGCAGGAGAGAAGAAATCCTGCTATTCTACCCGAAGCACCATCAGTTTCAGCATAAATGTATTTGAAGGAAGCAAAAAAGGCTCTGAACTTCAACGAAAAGAAAAATCTTAATCAAATCCTATTATGACACAAGACTGAGGCAGAGGAACTTATTTTAAACAGTACCAGAGCTCCAAATAAATTTTCTGCCCTCAATCCAATGCTGTAGCTAGGACCAAAAAATACCACAAAGTAAAACGTTTAAACACAGACGCACAGCTTTGAACTGAACCAAGTAAAAGGGCTCTCTGAGACAGTCTCAAAGATCTTGTGGCCTTAGAGAAATACTTTGATAGGCAAACCTATGATGATTACTCTTAGTTATCATCTGAAGCATGATGCTGAAGACAGATTAGACGTTCGTATTTGCTGAGGCAAAATATTAACTAAAGAAGAAAATACAGACTTCACACATACTAGCGAGTATTTCCAATTTGTAAAACTTATTAAATTTACTCTTTGCCTGCTACTCAGAGAGATGCTGAAGCTTCAGTGACAGTGCTGATTGTAAAAGGTCAGTCGCATGGTCCTCTCCCTTGCGCTTGCACCACTCAATCTGCATTCAGATGTTCAAGTCTTGAAAATTCAGCTATTGGGTTCTTAGCACAAAATCAGACTCAACAGCAGTCATATGCTGCAGAATTATGTGAAAATAAATAAAAGGTGCCACCTAACATTTATTGCTAATATTGTACTTTCAAAAACAATAACAAAATCAGGACCTAACATTGCATAAAACCATAAAATATAGAACAACAACATACAAAACTAGTGCATGAGATACACGGCAGCATTCACGCTCATCCTAACCGCAAAGTTTGGACATTCATGCACATATCTCACTTATTTCCAAGCCTTCCTATGTATGGATCAGTATAATACTACTGTACTGCAGCTTTCTTGGACTGTAGAACAAAATCTGCCCTCCTGAAGTGTGCTGGGTGGACTTCTCCTGACCTGTCCCACCACTGCCCGCTGGCTCCCAGGCCATGAAGAAGGTGAGTGCGAGACCCCAAGCTAAGCAGAAACTTCTCTCTAAAACAGACTACCTAAAAGGAGAATGTCAGAGAAGACATTGCTTTTTTTGGCTCCGAGTGCTAATGGAAAATAGGAAACCAACCAGGCAGCTTCAGACACTGGCACGTGCCCAAAGTGGCGAAGAGAGGATTCAGATGTAAGGGAAATTTATCTCACTGGTAATGCTGCAGCCTCAGAAGTGCACTCACGTTACGGAAAAACCCACTGAATTGCCAAAGCCAGATGGCATGTAAATATTTAAACAACAAAATAGCTTAAAATAATCTTTCTACTAAACACAGATGGAACTATTATTTACATTTACTTAAGAAATTTTCTGTGTGAATATTACTGTGACTTCAAGTAAAGGGAAGTGTTATATATCACCTAGAGCATAAACATAGCTCTCCAGAAGATTCTTGTTGGTATAATGTGGAAAAATATACCAAGATTTTGAAAGGCTATTAATAACACATTATACCGATCAGATGTAAACAAAGGGAAGGAGATGATGGCTGCAAAACTTCGCGGATCTGCTCACAGCACATGAGATGCAAGGGTGGGAGATTCGGAATCCCCCCCAAAACACACACCCTAAGAAACAGCCAGTGGTGAAAAGGTACCAAAAGATACCAGTACCAGCACAATGCCATCTGTGGCAGGCCTTAGATTTATAATTAACCTGCTAGCTTAATCAAGCAGAAGAAAGTACTCTGGTTAATTAGGGGGAAGCAGAGTGAGGCAGCTGCTCTGCTGCGCATCTATCACGGAGCTAATCACAGGCTCTAAGACAGAACAGGTAGATGACTCCCACAGCGCAAGTGAAGCTTACGTGGGGAAGACAAAACCTTGAAAAATTAATTCAGTTCCCTTAAAGAAGAAAACAAAAACATCATCTTTCAAAGGCAAGAGATGGACAAGCTTATCAGATGAACCAGCTAAAATCCTTCTGAACAAGTGGTGCAACATCAGCTGCAGAGACTTCTGTAAGTCAGCAAAGCTAAACTAGAATGTGTGCCAAAATGGGAAAAAGCGGTCTGTAAGGCAAGGATTAGAGGCCACTGAAAACTTGATTCATCTTCCAGATGTAACATTGAGTATGGAACACAGAGGGTGGGGAATAAGCCAGCGTACAGCACACTCCCAAATATGTAACACAAAGAAAGGAATGCACACCACTCAAAAAACAAGACACAAGAAAAACCATAGGGGAAAAATAAGCTTTAGATGAGAACGCTGATGTAAAAAAAAATGGGAGAAGTAAGACGATGTAAATAACACACATCCAAAAATAATGTCGCTGAGAATGCATAACATTCTGTTACACTTGCATAGCCACAGACATGGGTAGCACGTAATAGAGAATAATCATAAGAAAGTTGTGGCAAGTGAATGAAGAACTTAATCATGGAGTAAAATAAAGCTGCAGGTAATTCCTGCAGTGAGGATAAGTCCCCAAAGGTGGCAGGTGAGTCACGAGTGCCGAGTAACAGCCATTTTCATACACTGTTCTCTCCCTGCTAAGGAGCCAAACCTTGGAAACCCTTTCTGAGGACTTGATTAAGGAATCGTTTTTCAATTACAAGAGAGGTCTCACACCCAAAACCAGCAGCCAGCACAACGCTGCGCTCCAACTGAAGTGGCTCGGGCAGCTGGGAGAGGCACTCTCCCAGGGAATCACGGCAGCGTTTCCTGCAAAGAGAGACCAACGTTTTGGAACACTAATGACGAGTGAACCGCCACACCAGGATGATACTGTTCGTCTGAATGATCCTCCTCCAGTCTCCTGCAGTTTGAAAACCAGCATAAAACCATCTTCTAAGAAATATCACAGCAACATTTGGGGAACTTGGTAATTTAGTGTTATTGCCAAATTTTACATCTTCAAAACCTCTCGTAAACAAATAACAGATAAGGAAATGACTTGACTGTAAGTTTAGTGATCATATTCCCCATCCAAAAAACCACATTCATTTTATGGACAGAAAAAATGAAATAAAATGTAAAAACTAGCCAATCCAAGATTTTAAAGCAAATCTGTGGCAGCACTAATAATCAATTTTTCAGTCTTACAGATTTCGCACAGTACTGTCTCTAATTGCTAAAATAATGAACATCAGTAATTTATTACCAGGAGTTACATTTTTGCTGTCAAACTAGGAAATCTGTTAACCTCCTACAGTCTGTAGTGTCTGGACACCTGAAAGGATACAGACATATTGAGAAACACATTTGAAGTGAAAAAATACTGGCGATGCTCCTACCTTTGTACCTTCAGCATCACTTCCCAGCAGGATGGTATGCTATTATAAGGAGTTATCAAGGCTTAATGCTCTTCTGAGGATATTATGAAATCTGAAATTTAAACCTAGCTGTCACACAGGTTTCTCTTACCTATTGAATTTTAGCCAGTTAATATGAACATATCTAGCCAACAACTGTGACAGAATCACTAAACAAGAGGCTCATAAGCAAAAGGTAAGCGGTTTTAGTTTTTCTTTTTCTTTTTTTTTTTTTTAGGTTTTTACCTCCTCTTGATCCAACATTTGCTGCTTTAGCTTTTCAGCCAACTGGCTCTGCTGGTTGATTTCATCATCCTGCAATGAAATAGGGTTGGAGATTTTTAGTTTCTTTTGACAGTTCTCGTTTGGTCGCTTTTATTTCCCCTTTCTAGAAAAGAAGCAAGAATAATGCCGTAGCAAACCTTGTGCAGGTTTGAGTGGTATGAGGAGAGAAAAATATACATACACAGGGCTACACAGTAAAAGCAATGTATACGTGCAGTTGTCTCTGGTATATAACTAAGCAGAGGTGTCCCTGATGGTAACCAAGACACTGATGTGATCAGATTTGCACCTTATAACTTCCAAGAGATTTTGCCAACATATGCGATGTTTTACAGCTGTACAAATACATACAGACACACCCCTCTTACTCTGTCCCCAAATTTCAGCTGAAGAGAGACCATTAGAGACAGATTTATTAACCAATTACAATTTACAGCTAGCTCTGAACTGCTTTAGTGAAAGAGGAAGCCCGAACCACAACACAGAACTTGGACCCTCAACCGCAGAATTTGTGTTTTCCTACTCCATCACAGCCATTGAAGCAAATAACTGCCAGGTAATGCACAGCCAGGCATCCAGTTTTACCGGCATTTCAACTTCCTTGTGAAGACAGCATCCTCATGGGTAGGAATTGATGTTAAATACAGAAAAGAAATGATGATGGACTCCACTGTAGGAGTCCTTCCTCCAAACCACCACAGGCACACAAAGCACAAGACGTGACCGAGTCCGTCTCTTCCTGTGATGGATATCCTTCTCTAAAGGTTGCTTTTTACCCTACCAGAGTCACTTGGTATTTTGTGTGATTTCTGATAGCAAATGCAGCTATCAAGTAGAATACATTGAATTATTTGCTAATACTAAAACAGTCGTAGATATAACATAATAATGGTCTACACTGTAACAAGTTATAAATGGAGATATTTTGTTTTTGTTTTGGGGATCAAATACCTTCTCACTTCCTATAGTAGTGCAGTAGTGCACCAAATTATGCTTTGCATGTTTTCTAGGGTAAAACTCAAACCTGCCGCCAGTTCCCTCAAGAATAATTCACTGGGCTTTGCTACTATTGATGAGGGAAAGTGAAAGAATGACTGTCTTTTTTTTTTCTTTTTCTAATCAATACATAAAAGCTAGAGACTGCTACTGGGACTGTATTCTCCATCACAGAAAAGCTGTAATTTCTTAAAGACCTTAACGGTTATTTCGAATGCCATCAACATACTGCTGTGTGCAACTGGACTGTGCAGAGAGACCTCATGCATATCACAGTTAAGGCTTAAACATAACTATCCACTTCCTCCCACGCTATTCAGAAACAGCCAGACTTTAATATTAACATACAAGGATTTTTGAGTGGGCTTTTTTCTGATATTTTCCTGCTAATTACAATTGAAAGTTTAAATCAAGTTTTGATTCATGATTAAAGCTACCCTGAAAACTTTTGCTAAATAGCCTTTTAAGCTGTCCTCATCCATAATGGTCAATGGTTTTTTTCCCCACTTCTTATCTTCACACAAGCCAAAGCTATTATTGGCAAGTGCTCAGTAAATGTATTGCTGATAGCTTTAAGTGCCAATGATGTATTTCAAGCTGTGCAAATAAATAAATAAGCCAGCCACCTGCACTCCAGACAGTGTTCACAGCTAGAACAACATGAACAAAAGAGACCCAGGGGATGGTTATATATTTTCCTTAAAATTCTAATACACAATAAATATATAAAAAATACAAAGATACAGTCTCCCATTTTTTCTTTCGCCCAGATGACATCACAGTTTGCTTAGGGATTTTAACAAAAAATCACTGACAAAAAGGAGTGCTGAAAAGCCTGTACTGAGCCCTTAAAATAAAAGACAAACTTGGCTCCGATTTCACAGAGAATGCCCCCAAACACTATCTGCAGAGGGAACAGAGGCAGAGAGCTGACATGGTAGGACAAGATCTGGTTTTATGCAGTGACAGTGTTTTGAACTTTGTGATAGTTTTCCAGTTCACGGTGCTCCAGAAATACATGAGAGACACCCACCCATTTTGGCTTAGTTTTCCATTTTTACCCAGCAAATGGAGTCAAACCAAATGTTCACACCTTATCATCCAGCTGTCTGTAGAGACTGGCAATCTCCTCATCATATTTCTGCTTCTCCTCTGTCGAGATGCTGGCAACTACCGGTGTGATGTTGTCAATAATCGGGGTGTTATCACAAGGCTCCAGGTTCTTCTGGTCCTTTGCGCTGATCTGTTCATCTTCAGGCACAGCTTCTCCTGCAGGCACACAATCTATGGTCATTACAGTCCAAGAGAGAGGGTTGCCCAAAACCATGGACATCCTGGGATGGTCCTTCCCAGTTGCTGAGAGGGACTCAGCAAAGCTAAGAAGGGCTGTACCCAGCTGTGCAAGGCAGGCAACTGCCATGCAGACAAATGACAGGCCGAAGTAGGCATGGAAAGATGGCCATCCTCGTTAGGAAGATGACCTCCACAGTTAGAAACACAAACACGCAAAATGCAACAACAGTTCAAATGGCTGCCATTAAAAGTACCGAACTCCCGGCTCCCCTTTTACTGAAGCCCTCTATAGGTGGGATTTGCTCCATGGATTAACAGAAGTGTAAATAAGGAGGAAAAAAATCCGACTTTCAGCCTAAAGCCTACTGGCAATTAAATGTCTCTTCCTCTCCAGATTGCCAACTGCCTTATCAACTCTCCCTTCCCCATAATGAACTGCTAGAGCATCAGGACAGCAAGCAAGACAGCTGCATTGAAAACGATATTCACCTTCTGCCTTGTCACATCTAAAATTAAAGCTTATACACCAATTTGGAGATGTTGCCTATGCATATCAGACAGGATGTTCTCCCTACATATTTTCTTTCACAATCATTTTCTCTAAGGAATATTTTCTTCGGTAACGTCAGTGCATCGCAATTACGAGCCTGCTGCAGTTCAGTGAAGAGGGACAGGCAAGGCGCTCATGCCAGAAATTGAATCTACTCTCATTAGAGTCTGGTGAGACTGCGAGTCACTGAACGCTGCACGCGTTGCTCAAGGTGCAGGAAGATTACATCCATCCCTTCTGCTCAAACAGGTTTTTTTCCTTTCCTATGAAAAGCTACAATATTTTAGTCCCATAAAGCTTTACTAGCTATTCCTCTTGCCAGAACAGCATAGGCACTATTTATCTTACTGGCAGGGAGACAAGTAAACAGGGCAAATATATCAAAACCCAAAAAGGCACACTAATTCAGGCCCCAAAACAAAACGAAACAAAACAGGGCATGAAAGAACACAACCAACTAACGAAGATAATTTTTTCAAGCTTAAAGCATGAAAAGGAGTAATTTGAAATCAAGCATCATAAAAGTACTTCACTAAAAAATACTTTCTGCCCTATTGCTAACAGCTTGATGATATTTTGTATTACTAACGAGAAAAATGTAAATTGATTTTTCATTGTTGTGTTTCACTAGAGCAGACTAGGAAAGGTGGGCTTGTTCAGACCGTGGGACACTGCACACATGGCAACACTCCTCAGGCTGCGGAGAATCCATCAGGAGCCTCCCAAAATGAATCTTTAGATTTTCATTCATTGGATGAGAACACCCTCCCACCTGCAAAACACAGACCAAATTGTGCACTTGGATACAAGGCTGCTGAAATCCTGCTTCGGTGAGATCTGGGCACACCCAGTTTCTGCTACAATTTTATTTTGTGTATTATTTTCTAAGTTTATAGAATGAGCTATACCAATAGAATATTTATGCAACTATCTTGCGTTTCATATTCAAGATGCAATTTCTGTGACACTTGCATTTGTAAAGAGCGTCCGTTGACAGAATATCCTTCCAAAGGATGCTATTGCAGAAGGTCAGACAAGAAATCAATAGTATTTTGAATGCATTGAATGTATTGCTGGGTAACGCCAATGAGAAAAGCAGGACAGATGGAGGGGATGAGGAGGAGCATATATTTAGACAAAACAATAGAGACAGCATGTTATAAGGGTTGTTCACGTGGCACATAGAAAGGATCTATATGGGGTTTTCTAAAAAAATGTTTCTAGAATGGGAAGGAAATTGAAGCCGTCACATTTAGCAAACACAGAATGAAACACGCAGAACATGAGCAGGTTATAAATCCCCAGCACTCCTCAACACCACCAGCAGACCGACCGTCTCCATAGCAATTGCGCTATGCTGATAAGGGAAATATTCCCTGTGCTGAAGTCTCCAGAGAAAGACACGGAGCGCAATCATTAGGTAACGATCTCATCTGAAAGGCAAGTAAACAGCACAGGGAGCTGAAAGAGGAACAATTTTTTGCACCCATAAAGGTCAGGTATTATCTTTTAAGTAGTGATTTCACTCAGGATGTTCAAAACCAGACTTGGCTGTGCAAAACAAATTGTGACTAATAATTAAATCACAGATTTGTTCTCACTTTAAATACTTCATGTTTGCAAGAGTTACATGCTATTGAACTGCAAGACGCATCAACACGTAGGACCTGGATGACAAGTAATTCAGAAAATAAAAGTGACTCCAAAGAAGCAGTATTTAACTGCTGGGCGTTTGTTGGGATTTCAGGGTACAAGGGGGTGCAGGGTTGGTTTTTTAGGGGGCTGGGGATGGGTTGGTTGGTTGTTGCTTCTTGGTGGTTTGGGGCTTGGGTTTTTTGTTTGTTTGGGCTTTTTTTTTTACTATTTGGGATAAAAATGAAAAGAAAGGATGGTTTGCTAAAATTATTTGTCCACATACCAGCTTAAATAAAAATTCTTTAATTTGTAGGTATGCATAAAAATATTCTTCCTCCTCTACCATCCTACTCTTGATCTTACAAGCTATCCTGGAACAGCAATTCCCTATGTTTGTAAACAGAAAATTGGCTGTTCTCAACATAAATTTCACTTAGAAGCCACAGAAGGAGACAAGTGGTATTCTTCTAATCAGATGACACTCCTAAGCATTGTACTTAAGCACTAATTATTCTAATGTTAAACTCAATTGCAAAAAAAGCCCCAAGATCTAGTTACCTTAAAGCATAACAGAACTGATTCTCATGCCTGAGGAGCAGAGCGCTTTAAAAAAAAAAAACCAAAAAAACAAACCATAATGACATTTTACCTTTTCTTTATTAATATTAATAACATTATTAAAAATTATTGATGCCTTTCTGTACTCGCTACATCTGATACCATACCAGTTTTGGCATTTAAAATGGTACCTTCTGTAAATGGCTGCTGCTGGTTTCCCCAGTTTTTGCTTTTTCACCTTTCAGTTACTATTATGAAGCATGAGCTACAACTTTGAATGGTGAGCTTAGAAATAGTATGACTCTTGTGATTCAAGGCAAAATTTAAACATACGTAACTGAAAAATACGAAGACATGTATCCATTTGCATTTTCTGGTACGTACCATTTCTCCACCTGTTCAGTTCCAGCTCTAGATGCTGGATAACATTCTTTAGACTCTTGTTTTTGTCTTTCTCCTTCTCGTACTTCTTCTTCCACTCCTCTGCAGTCAGTTCCAGATTCACAGAGACCGTGTTCTTAATCGTCTTAGCTCTACACAACAAAACCAGGTGTCAGTTACTCTCAATACAAAAGAAAGGATTAAGAAATTTCTCCGTAACACAAAGGGAAACTACTAAACATTTGCAATTTGTTTTCGAAAGTGCAATGCCACAATTCCATTTTCTTTCAAACCCTCAGTACCATTACCACCTTGAAGCCTCAAGGCAAATTTCTCTGTATCAAAATCCAGCAGCCAGTGACCACTGAGACACGGATCCGCCTCTTCAGATTCCTCCAAAAAGAGAAGCTCTGGAAACTGTTCTTGGATTAAGGACAAACCCAAGTCCTGTCATTATTGCTCTGCTATGTAAGCTGTCACCTCGCAGCTTCCCCTGGCCTGGGAGCCACCGTAGAGTACCCCACACCAGCATCTGACCACGGGCTCGCCCCATCTCTTAACATCCATCCCTTAAATTCCACCAACAAAACTCAGCCATATTTCAAGCATCACAGCATGACGGAGATCAACACAGCAAAGCAGAGATATGGAAACTTGTCCTTCTTGAAAGCTAAACAGCACTTTCAAATACATTTTTGGGGGTGGAAGGAAGGGAAGGAGAAGACCCGCTCATCACCACGAGGTAACTGGGTTGGTTACTGCTGGGCTGAGGAAGGCTCTCAGTGGGAAGGGAGCCTGAACTCGTGCCTCTGCCACTGTAGGCAAGCTCACGAGTTACTGCCTCTCACGGCAAAAATCACAAAATTTAAACCCTTCTAACAACAACCAACACCACTTTACTATTGTGAAAGTGCTTAGCTCCAACTGAACCTGAACAATTGCACCAGAAAATGCAAAGCAAGCAGAAAAATTGCACAGCACCTACTGTAGCAAATCCACATTTAAAAAGAAAAACCAAACAAATCGGTATGAATTAAGAAAGCTTCGGATCTTTGCCCTTCACTGCTCAGACACTGAGTCCCTCCAGATGACTCCAGTGTTACTGAATAAAACAGAGGCTAAGTAAAGGAATAACAAACAAAGCTCTGACCAGGTTTTAAAGCATAGGCTGAAACATCAGTGCAAGAAACTATACCTAGGAATGGGCTATAGACACACGGGCTAACTCTCCTTGGCGGAGGGCATGTGACCTTAATTATTTTCTTTGCAGCTCCACTTACTGATTCAAAAGCATCCTTCAAATGTGGCCAATCACTAAAAATCCTCAGACTTTGTTTTGCCAGCAAGAAAACACTCCCATATCTGTGCCTCATACTCCAAACTGTGCTCCAGTGATTTGCACTATGTGGCAAGCAGGAGTTTTATTACCTTAGAAACATTTTTAAATAACCCTGTAATTTTAAAATATGCAGACGCCTAATAGTTAGCTTTTACATATTGTCTCTGCCAAAAGCATGACTCAAATTTCCACTCATTTAACTGCACTAGGGGAAAAAATGCCACACCATAAAGTTTATCGATTGTGTTACCCTAATGATGGATGAAGTACTTACCAGCAACTAAAATTAAAAACAATATAAAAACACAAAAAAAAGATGGAGCAGAAAGAGAAGAAACAGACTGAATACTAACAGAGGAGCACGGGCACGTGTTGATTAGTGTAAGCAGGCCCGTGATGAATTTTATTCCTAACGCTTATTTTAATGGTGATATAATTCTTTCTTGCTAGGAAAGATGGAGGAACCAGTAATCACCTATGACTCATATACCTTCCCTTTAATGTTATTCAGGCCCTTAACACTGTCACATCAGAAAAAATGAAACACCGCAACTAAAGAGCCCGTAAAAGAAACCATTTCTCGTAGACAGCAATATTCCTATCCAAAATGCTGAGAAATAACACTATGTGTGTACAGTGTGTGTGCTGCTCTGCAGGTCTCATACATCACCAGTCCTCCTACTTGTATTGCCTTTCTTACAATTGAATGTTCTCCACAAGGAACTCCCATTTCAGCCCAATTCTATAGCTCTTAAACAAACAAACAAAAACGCCACAATGTACCCCAACTAACCACTCGCACAAAGTATTTAGCTATTTTCCTAGTTCTTTCAGCTGACATCCTCGTCCTCAGTATGGAATATCTTAAAAATGCTCCTGTTCCTAGAAAAGTGTTAGTCATGTCACATCACTCCAAGCTCCGCTAGACAGGATGTGCAGAGTTGGTTTGAAAACTATTTTGCTCCAAACAGACATGCAAGTTTTACCAATTACTGGAAAAAGAAAAAAAAAAAAAAACAAAACAAAAAACAAGAGAAATGTAAACTGAAATAATGCAGAAACTGGACTTCCTCTGCACACACTTCCTCAAGTACCCAAGCATACAACTTCCCAGCGATCCTGGAGCACTGTTATACATTACAGAGCAAAAGCAAACCCCTTTTAATCTAGATTATTTTTTTTTAATTAAAAAAAAAAAAGCTAAACTACCTTTTAATCCTCTTAATCTGAACTATTGAATTTTACTGCTTACATTTCTTTTTACTTCAAACCATACCTGCAGACAGAGAGTTCAGCATAACAGCAAGCAGACTGAAACCTGACACAATACCTGCTCATCTATTAAAAATTAAATGCCCCTGCGCTGCATTACTGCCCTGGAGCCTCATCCAGAATAAATTAGCAGGAACTTTGGGACCGCTCGTCTGTTCTGCAGAGGTGCAAGATTCACACCCATCTGCAATCACCTGCAGTCAGAAAATTGTATGTGGGGAGGTTTAAACTGTGAACCATCTAAACATTGAAGCTTTTACCATCAACAAAAACTGTGCAACTCATTATACTTCAGAATTGTTAATTCTCTTTATTTAATTATTGCATCTTAATATTTGCATTTACTCAAAATTTCTGTGATGCACATTATAATATATGGGATTTCAGTAGAAGCTTACATCTTCACTAACTTAAACTTATGTTCATCATACAATGGTGAATTAAAACTCCATAGCAACAATTAACCCGATTATATGTTAACGACCACTTCCTCCTTTTATAGTCCTTTTCCACATAAACTTAATGCAGTGACCTGCGAAGTTCCCTTTGGGGAGTTTTTCCTGCATGCTGTTATTTAAACGAGTAGCTTACAGGAAGGACACACTATGGGAAGCAGAGATGGGAGGAATCAGTGCCTTTTGCAGCTACCTGACTGCCAGCACGTGGGACCCTCCCCACCTTCCACAAATCCCAGCAGCAGACGGCAAGGACAAGTTAATACTGGTTCTGGCAATGCCAGATGGAGAGTGTGTTGCAGAAAACCTGCACTAATCTGCAACTCTCCACTACAAGGGACTGCATCCAGCTGCAGCTGTTTGTCCTGCACTTTTACGTACTCCTACACGAATACACTAAAGGGATCATTTCCCCTCACAGAAGTCTAAGGAAAGCTCACATTATAGGATAAAAGTGGGGCAATGAAGTAATAGAAGACTGACATATTCATCTTTTAGACATGATTGTACTTTCCAATATAAAATGCTCCTTAACAGTGTGGGCTTCAATGCAAAAATTATGCATGGTGGAAAACAACCCATTTTCAGACAAAGACAAATTTATTGTATTGTACAAACTGTTAAATGAATTCTATTTCAAACAATTGTACAAACTGTTAAATGAATTCTATTTCAAACAATCATAACTTGCTAGTACTTTTTTGTTTCTGCTATTACAAGAGTAAAAAAAAATGAGTAATTTTACAAAGCATCAGAGTTCTCCTCAATTACAACAAAAGCAGTAATTACATAATGAGCCTGACCTATTTTTGCAAACTTTCCAAATACATTTCATATGACTATTGCCAACGAATGCATATGGAAGAGAAAGTTTCATTCCGAATACTTCCACACTTATTTTACCCTTGCTTGTTTCTGAGGACTTGTTCCTAAACTGTTAAGATCCTTCAAATATAAAAATGTCCATGAGCTATCACAGTAATCTATCAAAGTTGTGAATATTAAACGGAGTACACATTCTTCAGTTTTCTTAACGGTTAAAAAATATTTTTTACAACCATAACAATAATCCCTGAGATGCCATTCAGGGAGAAGACACATCTTAAAAGCATCAAGAGCAGCATCAGATAAAGCAAACCCAAACATTTTCCACTGTTAGCCAACAGAAAACTGCCTAATACCATTATCTTCCCCATATAATTTCAAGCAACTATGATAATGCTTTGCATTTTCTACAGGAAAAAATTACCAGAGCTTCTAAGTAGTGCAGCTGCCGGCCAACATTAACATTTATCTTTATGGTACCACAGGGAATGAAGAGACAGTTTTCTCAAGTTCTCCAGTACTATTTTTGAACAACTCCAGAAACCATTAACTCCATATTTTAAAATGCCTACTCATCTCACTGCCCTCGCCACAGCTGGCTCGGAACACGTGGAAGAGCCCGACTAAGTGTCATCCAGCCTAATGCTGAGTAGGACTCACCGCTGTCCAAACATCAGGGTTGACTTTGTTTCTGCTTCGTTGAACACAGAAGGAGAACAGCATATCACAATGGTGGTTCTGCAGTTCCCACCAAGGGAATCCTGAAGTATTCGGGTCATTTTGCTGTCTCGGTACGGAACATGTGTTTTCTAATCAAAATATAAATAAGAGACAAGAACAATTTTTTAAATCATCATATTGTAATGAGAGAGAACAAGAGTCAACAATGACAGGTTTAATGGATTTGAAGCATACAGTCCTGAAGAGTAATTGTTTTGATTGCGCTAAGATTGGATAATCACTCAAGTGAAATCACCGAGAATTAGTTTCTTATCTTCAGCAGAAGAGCAAAAGCGTCACTGGTTTGTGGTTGGAAAGCTAATATTTCTTTCTTTCTGAATTGAAATGTTAGCTGATTTTTTTATGTGCGTGGCAAAGAAACACATAGATAAAAAGCCATTCTTCAACAACACAAAACAGGATTACTTACAGTTCCTTCGGCCAAGGCAGATATCACGTTGCCTAAAGCAGACAAAGACTTATTGATATTTTTAGCTTCATCAAGAACAGCGCCCTCCGCTCCAGTTTTGCTGACCTACCAGAGAGAGCAGGCAACAGTCAGGCTCAGCCATCAGTAAGCGCCTTTACAAATACAGTTACAATGCAGATAATAGTGCAACCATTAAAGATGCTCTTGGAAGAAAAACAAAGCAAGCTTATCCTCAGCATGAAGGAGGAGAATTTTATATGCACTTTTTTGTTAGTGGAAGCCTGTAATACTTCCACCTTTCTACCAGGGTAACAGCAAGTTGACCCTTACTTTGTTCAGAGATAAGCTGGTATAGTCCGTGCTCTCCTGAGGACACTTGGGGACCACTACAAAGACCAGATTGTCCATACAGATAGGGAACACCATAGGTATGTTCTCAGGGCACACTCAGTGGTACAACATATGCCACCAAATGAGTATGGCTTTGTATTTTGCTTGCATGGGCCAAGAATATCCGGACAGAAAAAGTGTGATCTCCCTCATCCTGAATGCAAGATTTACTGGTCCACAAACTGGATGCCAAGGTGGCCCAGGTGAGAAGCTTGGTGGTCTCGGACCAGCACTCCTTTAGACAAAAAGATTGGCATGCTAATGATAACCTAAGATAAGACTTCTGTAAAATCTACCTTAGTTTGCAGTGACACACATTCACATGATCAGTTTAGTGATCCCACTAGGATCATTCAACAGTTTAGGGAAAAGGAAAGATTACCTTCTCACTTCCAGCCAAGTCTACCAGGTAAAGCTTTCCACTGAGTTTCTTCTCAGTTTCCACATTCTCTTGTTTAATATTAATAAGGAAGATACTGTGGCTCCTAGAGCTGTGTTCATTCATATCTGCAATTACATTTGAAAGGTTTTGTTTGAATGACTTTAAATCCTGAGAATAAATTATATTTTATCAGAGCGAGCCGACGGCTAGCAAATTCAAAAGTACGAGGCGATTCATGGGAGAGCCCAAACCGCTGTACTGACAGCAGTGTCTATGCCAAGAGCTGCAAATAAAGCTCACGGACTACAGAACGAGCTCCTGCGTTCTCCCAACATGACCAAATTAACCAGATTCAGGATAAATGGCAGCCTTGAGGAAAAAAAGCTTTTTTTTTTTTTAATTTTCCTTCTTCTTTCCTTTTTGAAAGATTTTTTATTCCCCTGAAGCAATAAAATTTGACCAGAAATAATAAAAAATAACAAAAAAAATCATAGCATAGGAATAATAACATTTCACAGATACAGTAAGAAATAAAGTTTTTGTCCTTTTATGCTTCTTCATGAGTACAGACACTTGGCACAAAAAACTGCTGTGATATAACATACACCATTTAGACACAGAACTACAATGAGGATGTATGGTCAGCATCCTGGACAGAGGAATAGTTTTGAGCTGAGCAAGAGAATTTAAAGAGAAGTAATGTAATAATTGCAATAAAAAGAAGTCGGGCAGGTCTCTGCAATTGTGTGAGGAGATCTCCCAACATTTTAGCAAAAGTTTTCATCAAAACCATACTATTTAAATTAAAATTTCAAAGTGATTTTTATTCCTATGTAATTAAAAATCCTCCTTCACCCAGGCAGCAAGTGAAACACAGGCAGCTACAGTTTCAGCTTCCACTTATTATAAGTTTGATTGTAACCATATCATGCTTGAAGTTTCATAAAGTAGCAAAAAGAATCAGTAAACCACTTTCTCATCCATTTTCTCTATTTTCTCTGTTACTTTAAAATCCACTACCAACTTTCCCCATTCACATTCACAGCAATATTTCTATTTTTCTGAACTCCCTTTTTCTTCTCCATCTCCAAACTCATGTTTTTCAACACCACTTCCAAATATGCTCCTTGCCATTTCAGTCTAGGTAAAATTCAGTCTCTGTCAACTGTTGTCAGAGCTTTTCTGTGTGCGCCAAATGCAACAGGTAGTATCACAGCAAAAGGTGTATTGGGGTATTTTTTGTTAAAGAGAACAGCAGAAACAAGGGGAGGAAACATGACTCAGAAAAAAAGAGAATGCATTTCTATTAGCATGATGGGAAAGGCATGGAAAAGCTAAAGCAATACAGTATTTCCCAAAGCAAGAAGGTAGAGACATGGAAGAGAAAGTAGCTGCCCAGTGTGTCATAAAAAATAAAATTAAATTAAAAAAAAAAAAAACACCAAACCAAAAAAAAAAGAACGTACCCAAAACCCCACCCCATCACCAAGATTTGAGTTACAAGCTGAGGTTCTGCGAAGCTCACTGCTTGGATCAACGACGTCTTACAGTATAATTTGGGAAACAGGCCAAAGATACCTGCCCTTTTTATCACCATAATGCTAGTAGGCTGCATGCAACACAATGTCAACAAATTTGGCACAGGCTGAAGCAATTATTTAGGTTTTTTTAATTCAGGAATATTTGTTTGCTTTGCCATCATTGGAACTCAATCCAAGTCACCGCTTCACTGGGATAACTCACAAGGGATAAACAGGCAGAGTCTGCTAACTGCTCCGCAGTCTCTGCCTGCCATTTGACCAGTGAATTGCTCTGAGTTCTTGACTTGTAGCACAAAGAAGAATGCATGTACATAATTTCAGTTATACATAATGTCAAAATATCTACACTATGTGTGACAATACATATTTTGACGTTTTATATAACAATACTATATAATGCCACATATTAAATTCAGGAGTTCTCAAAGCTGAAAGTCAATAAACGTTTCTGTATGCAGTAAAAAAAGAACAGCTCTGTTAATTTTAGAGCACTATAATTTGTGCATCATTACATCACTCACGTAAGTAACTCAAAGTACTTTGTGAACATGAAGAATCAATACATCACTAGGAAGCTACAGCGACCCACACTTTATAGCCAGAATACTTACTTGTAACGGCTACATGACGGTTAGCTTTCCCTTCATCAATGACATCCAAAACTTCTTCAGGACTAGATACAAATCTTTCCGTACAACCCTAGAAATATGCAAGTTGAACATAGAAAAGTTTAGGAAGTGCCCTAATGCTTTAAATGCCATCAGGAGCATATTTAGCACTGACGACTAAAATAATTAGAAGAATCATGAACATCCAACATGACCATTAGCAAGGCAACGGACCAAAACATGCGTTTGTATGACTTTCAGGAGGACTCCACAGGATAACTTAAGAGACAATTTTATTTCATAAGATTAAAGACTCAGTCAAATCCAAACATGCAGCAGAAAAGAGTTTCTATATATAGTACACATGGAACAATATGGCATATATTCCTGTTACTAATTTGGGTTAGATTACATACCCAAATTAGTTTTTCTCTCTCAATCTACAAAACAAGATGCATAGTCCTTATCCTCTGCCTTAATGCAATATTACTGAAGGAATTAGTTTATCAATTTTTTTTTCCTTCCCTAGGATTAGAATAAACAGAACAATATTATATATATATTATTAAAGCTCACGTAGGTTCATAGCAAGCATATTATATTTAAGGGAGGGCCCAGGAATTCATAAAACAAATTCCTAATTCCTGTTCTAAAATATTGCGAGATTACAGCATCTATGCAACAAAATACTAAAGAACAAAATTATTCAAGACGTTCTCTTTCATATCTGACATGAAAAGGGCATATGAATACTTACAACTTAATACCATACTAACAAAATGTAAACATCTGAAGTCAGGAGAATAAAGAAAACGTGATTCAAGACCATTAATATTTCAGGGAACTGTTTAAATCCAGGGACAAAATACTACTTGAACACGTTGAATTATTTCAGCAAATGCAAAATGCCTATGTGAGAAAGAACGAAAAACCGAGCATCACATTTTCCTTGTACCTTAACATATGGGACTCTGTTTTTATCTTCATGTACAGCGAGGTTTGTCTTTGACACTACAAAAGAAGGTGGAGATCATTAGGAACATTCCACAGGTAATAATGTGTCAACTATAAGCATGACAGACAAATACTGTGAATGTATTAAATTTGTAAATGAGAACTGTAGTCACTTCCCATTCCTTATGAATTACCAATATTTTTGCTACATAAAACTTGTTTCTAGTTCTGTCAATCTTGTAACTGTTTCTTTAAAGTTAATTTTATGGCACAGAAGCTCTTGTTTATTGCTTGTATTAATGAAATGAACACAGAACAAGTTGGATTTTGCCAAGGCAGCAAGAATTTCGAAAGAGACAGAAGAACTCACTGGAATTCAGAAAAGCTCAAAAACATATTCCTGGTTTTGTGTTACCATTAGCATGCATTTCTCTGTCTTCAGACTGATTCAAAACACACAATTCACATTTTCATTAACATACAGCATGCATATACAGAGACACAAATTGTAAAAGACATAGATCACGTCCAATAAACTCTATCTAACAGACGCAAAGCAAGGAATAAGTTGAGCCAAATATATTCTAAATTTAACAAAATCTAACAAGCTGTTGCTTGTCCTCACTATCCTTTGCCAATGTTTTCATCGCCCCACAATCAGAACACTATATACATTTTTAAATTACAGGGTTTTTTCTTTAAGAATATACATTGTTGAGGAGGCTCAAACCTGCCTTGAAGTCTGTAAAATTCTCTGTACTCGTTGATTTCTACTAATTTGGGCCCCTCCCTACAAGAAAGACATTGAGGTGCTGGAATGTGTCCAGAGAAGGGCAACAGAGCTGGTGAGGGGTCTGGAGCACATGTCCTGTGAGGAGCGGCTGAGGGCCCTGGGGGTGTTCAGCCTGGAGAAGAGGAGGCTGAGGGGAGACCTTCTCGCTCTCGACAGCTCTCTGAAAGGAGGTGGTGGGGAAGGGGTGGTGGAGGGGTGTCTCTTCTCCCAAGTAACAAGTGACAGGAAAAGAGGAAATGGCCTCAAGTTGTGCCTGGGGAGGTTTAGTTTGGGTATTAGGGAAAATTTCTTCACTGAAAGGGTTGTCAAGCACTGGCACAGGCTGCCCAGGGAAGGGGTGGAGTCACCATCCCTGGAGGGATTTAACAGACGGGCAGATGTGGTGCTGAGGGACATGGGGTAGTGGTGGGTTTGGCAGTGTTGGGTTGATTGTTGGACTTGATGATCTTAAAGGTCCCTTCCAACCTAGACAATTCTAAATAGTAAAGCTAGGTAGCACTGCAGAGGTAGGTGCACAACCGTCAGACATCAGATGACTTCAACTGCAAAATTCTCTTTCACAAACCCCAGCATACAGCTTAAATTTAAATCACTCTCAAAGAAAGTAACTGTTTCCCCTTAAGCATCGATTCAAAGCACTATACCAAGCTATACAGCTTAAATTTAAATCACTCTCAAGTTTCCCCTTAAGCATTGATTCAAAGCACTATACCAAGCCGAAAAACACTTAGTCACATAAGAGATTCAGAACTTACCATCGAGTAGGTCCCTTATTTTGTCCAAATATATCTCAAAGTAGGAAACCTAATTAAGTAATCATAAACATTACAGATTTAAATGTTGGCAATTTAAAAATCTTAGTACCTATATTATAACAAAAAGCACCAAACTAAAAATAAAACCCACCTCCCACGTAGTTTGAATTACCTCTTTCATGTGAACATACTTGTATTTTAAATGATTTGCAAGTCATTGATTCTTCTCCATCTATCAATGATTCATCAGGAAAGTGTACAAAAAAGACTTCAGACAAATCTTATCTTCACCTTTTTTTTTCACAGGCAAAATTGACAAAAATATTGAACAGAATCCAATCAATTCAGCTACTATCATCTCAGCACAGCTGCATCATGAGAAAGATCAAGTTTGACAACTGTAAGAGGTATATTGATATTCACCGGCACAAACACAGACAGCACCTTCAGTGGTTTAACGTACAAGTTACATCAGCCAAAGTAATATATATTAAATGAAACTTTTAAATGAAGCATATGTGAAAGTTCTGTCTTGAATCAAGTCTCAAAGAAGGAACTGAAAATGAGCTTTTCTGTAACAGAGACAATTGTCCACAAAGGGGAAAAAAAAAAAAAGAAAACAAGGAGAGGGAGAATGAATGAATGACTCTCAATGAAAGGGTATTCAACTCAGAAGCAAATAGAAATGTGTTAGGGGCATGGTGCTTAACCACACCCTAAGTAAGCTTTATCCAGGGATTATTTAGCTTGAGTACTAGACGGCTCAATTCTAGGTATCAGTAAACTCTAGCTGTGTAGTAAAGTATCATTTTGTCTCATGTAAAAAATAAATTATATCTGGTTTTTTTCAATTGATGAGTTGATCTTCCTATGTGACAACTGCTGGTAAATACGGATGTATTTTGCTTTTGTTCATTTACACTGGACCATGGTTTGGACCAGCTCATTTCAACAGCCCAGTTCACCCAGACTTAACTCGCGTGCTCTGTATTATCCTATTAACACACTGCTGAGAACCAACACACGCAGGATATGCCAAGTTCCCCTCCTTGTTCTAAATGGGTCTTTATTAAAGAAGGAGAGAAAAAAATGATATTAATTCTCACTGTTGGCTCAGTTATTAAAAGAGTGTGACAGTTTGGTTAAATTCTTGCTCCCAATGACAGAACATGCATTTCTCTCAATGACAGCTCCTTGTATAATCACTCACTCATTCATGCTATTTAGGCAGCTTTTCTGTTAAGATATTCATAAATGTCAACTATGATAGGAAACCACTGAAACAATTCAGTGCTGGCAGAACATGATTTATAAAGTGATAATCTTCTGTCGGGACAGGAATTTACTATGTCTTGTACAAGGGGGTCCCCATCTGTTGGTATCCAAGTGCTATCATGTAGAATAGCAATAGCCACAGGAGAGCTTTACAGATGATGAAAAGAAATCAGTGTCACTCCTATGGAACCCCATTTCTAGGAAAATTCACAGGTGTCTCTTCTTAAGGAGCTCAATATTTTACAATTTAAGGTCTATTAAAACATTTACATAGTTTATTTGTACTTTGTAAGGCTGCTGCTTCTCACTGTACTTCATGAACACCCCCACAAACAGACGCTGCTAGGAAGGCTCTCAATACAAATGACCTCGTCCCTCCAGAAGATCAGTAGCTGGTTCAGAGGTCCTCTGTTACTATTAAAATATACATACACACATATATACCCCCAGAAGTGCTTCAAGGGCTTTAATGCAAGCAGCACTAAAAAGTCACTCATTTCTAACTTTTAGGCGCAAGAGGGAAAGAAGAGGAGAGTTTCATTTTCCAAGAGCATCACCTGGTCACTGCAGGAGAAGGGACAGTGTTTTCACACTCTACCCGTGCTCAGCTACTTAACTTTACTGAACCCATCTATGTATATTTTGTGTGTTTTGGGGGAGGCATGATACAGAGGAGTATTCATTTTTCCTGTAATCACTGGGTAGTTTTACTCATGTCTGCTTGGAAGCAAGCTGTAGCCTGACCCAAACTCCGCCAGACGGACCAATGCCCCCCTGTGGCCGAGAGCTACTCAGGAGACTGGATGAACAGTAGGAATTAAAGGTCACTCAAAAAATTTGAGAGATCATATGGTTGGGGATCAAGATAGGGACATGGAAAAACATAATAGCTGTTCAAATCGAGACTTAGGCCACCATCTTAAGGAACTCACACATAAGCTTTTGAGCTAAAAATTACTTCTAAACATCCTTCTGTAAATTGCCCAAAGCCATCTTTCCTCCATTTCAAACCCACATGCTATGGAGGACTGTCTACATCCTTGAGATAGGAACAACATGTCTGTATTCTCACAAATATCATGCAAATCAATGGTATTTATGGTCATAACTAGCAGGGCTGAGGTACAGTCTTTGGAGAAGCTGCAGTGAAATAAGTGTGTTATTGCTTACCAAGTTGGCCAACCTACCAGCTGTGGTGGGAGACAAGGCAACCAATGGACTAGCAAACCTGAGCTGAAAACACACTCCAAAAAATTTCAATCAAAGGCTAGTAACTCTATTGGAGTATTCCTAGTAAATGTCCTCAGTAAAATAATGTTTGGGATTGTTGTTGGTTTTTTTTTTTCAAGTGATAAAAGGGAGAAAGGAAAAATTCTGCAGCACAATGTTACAGCATGAATGCAGGTCTCCCCACCCAGCTCAACTCTCTTCCATCCGACCCATTACGTAACACGTCATTCTGCATTTACCTTTATGTGAAACTCCAGGTTTTCATCCATGGAATAGATGTGATCAAAGATGTCATGTGCAATTCTTGGAATGATTCCCATGAGCTGAGGGTCGTGCAGCTTCCCCTGCGGACACAAAACCACACTGTAACTCGGAAAGCCTGGCTCAGGTACGTGAGAGGAGAAAGCCTTGTCCAAACACACCTTCATCCAATAGGCCCCTATGAACGTGTCTGCTGCTCTGGGGGGGCATTTGCTTGATGTAAGTGCACAGAAAAGGTGTCAGAACGACTCAACGTGTTAGCACTCTTCACCCAATGGAGCACCTATTTGTTTTGTCAGCTCCTGCCATTTGCCAAGAGTGCTGTCCTGCCGCTATCTACACTGTCACTCCATCACTGAAGATAGAGAAATAAACACAAACATACAAATTACTGCCCGGTTCTCCCAGTTAAATCAGATATTTGGAAACATGTCAGAAACAAGAAGTATTATAGCATTTTGTTTCTCTTTCACCACTATGCTAGAAAGCTAAAGGAAAATCTGGGTTGCGGGGATTTGGGGATTAGAGTAATATATTCTGATTTGAGCTTGCTGGGCCTGTTGCCAGACAACTGTGCGTTACAAACACAACTGTTCTCCATGCTAATATGCACAACTACCTTCCTCTATTCTTTCAAGAACTGAATATTAAATAAAAACAACAGTTTCCCTGGCTGCAAGGCTCCTTTTAGTTGTATTGCTTTTTTTGAAAAAGCCAGAAGAGTACAGGAAAGCTGACGCCATTTGAAAACTGAATAGAAACATAAACTTGAAATAAAAACCTTTTCTGACTAACTACAGTTAGTCAGTGTACTAGTGTACACTGTATTGTTATTTCCAAATGTTTTATGAAGCTGCTTAAATACACAATAACAAGTCAGTTGTCGTAAGACTCCATCAGAACATAGCATCTAGAAACTCTAATATACCTTTTGAATACATCTTTGTCCACATAATACTGCCCATATCAGCACAACAAAGCATCTTACTCCTAATAGTGGTAGAGAATTATTCTTTTTTTTTTTTAATATAGTGGGTATCCATACAATTCCAAATTGTGGGAAGTCAGATGTGATCTGTGTCCTGGTTTGAGATAGAACAAAATCAATTTTCCTTTTCAGTAATTTTACTTTTCAATCAAGTCTCTCCTAACTAGCTGCACTCTCTGAAATTAATGGTATGTTTTTCAGACAGTGTCTGCTTCTAGCAGTGGTAAGGTCTGATGTTTACAGTTAATGCCAAGGCATGGTATGCAGAGAGGCTCTTGCTTACACTTATTCCTATAACAGCCAAGGCCAGCTGACTCTCTTATGTGCCACGTTGGAAGACCGGAGGCAGACGAGTGTAAAGGGGTCGCACCTGCGGGGAGGAGCGGACAGGACAGGTGACCCAAACCTGACCAACAGGGTATTCCACCCCATCTGCCTCATGCTCAGTATAAAAACTGAGGGATCAAAGGGGTCAGCTCTCTTTCTTCAATGGCTGGCACCCGAGGACGACTCCGCCTGTTCTTGTTTGAACTTGCCAGTACAGCACTCGGTTCCATCACACCGCACTGTTATTGAGCAGAGGCTGCAATACAATTTTCACACTATCCCTCCCTTCCCCTTGAATAAGCCCTTGAAAAGTTCACTGAAACCAACTGACAACCCTATATTACTGCACAGAGTTTTCCCAAAGAGGGAAAAGCAGTTTTTCTTAAACTAGAATAAACAGAGATTTGCCGGTATTTCTTCAGTGCACACGAATGCAACCAAAGGTATGTCTACGCTATATAACACTGCAGGACGCATGATTCCTAAGGCAGCGGAGGCAAAGGCAGCTACAGAACAAGAAATGCTAGAGCTATACAGTGCCTCCTTTTCTATAGTAGCTTTGATCAATCTGGGTTGTTAGCTCAGCCAAAGGACAGTCTGAATTCAAAGTTTTGTAGCAGAGACTTCTGTCTGCACAGAGGTGCAACAGCTTTGGGATCACTACACTAGTAAACCTTTCCACTAATAATTGCTTGGGCTCTGGGTTAGAGACAACTTATAAAAGTATTTAATTAAATATCCTAGCCTCAGCAAGCCCTGTAATGATTATGCTTTCCTTTACATAGCTTTCTCTAGCTCAGAAGAGAAAGCAATCTGTAAAATATGATTAAGAGTGCATGCATCTCAACCACTGCATCTACAACTTCTTGGGCTTGGGCTTTCTCACTATTTAAGGCAGTAGAAACTTCAGTGAAGCAAGATCACATCCAACACTTTGCTAAGAAAGAGATAAGACCTTTAAAACACTAACACCAGCACTCTGTGATGTATTGAAAAAATATATATCATTTTTACATTGTTATTAATGGATTTTTATTAAAACAAGAGATGATTGAAGCAGGTCCCACTATAATTTATGGAGACCATAAACTGGAAGGGAAGAGAAAGGTAAAGGTAGGCTACTCACTGGAAAGATGAAATAAAATAATTTTAAAAACCCACTTGCATGAATTTAGCTGTAACCTCAGAGTTTGGAAAAATCTGCTGCTGCTGCTATGCTGACATTGCAGTTAGTAAACTCCCCCAAAGCACCAGGACAGAGAGTTCTCTGCTCATTAAAGCCTCTCATTTTAATAAGAACATTAATTTCCACATTTAAACATAGCAGGCAGGCAGTAGGTAGTGAAGTGTAACATTTGAGACAGTGCTGGTTTATTTCAGGATGTTGCCATAATAACTAAACCTATTATGACATAATAACTAAACCTTCAATACCTAGTATTGAAAACTCTACTATAAGGTCAAAGCAGAGCAAGATAATCTTGTGGGCAGAAATTCATAATTTTTAAGACGGTTTTGGTTATATGCTGCTCTACAGGTTGGCAAACGTTTTATCTAGCCCAGGAGAAAGACCTATGTATGTCAGAAAGCCTATCCTGGCTATACTACACTGCCGTGTCCCTTTTAAGCTTAACACTAACGCTATGAAGCATTTCACAGAAAATCCTCCATAACAGCTTTACCAAGAGGATTTACTATTTCTTCAACTACAGACTATTTTTTTTCTTCCACAACATACTTTCGCAACTTTACAAGAGGATGTTCAGTTAAAAGGGAGATTAAAACTGAGTACAGACTTGATTCCACTTTAAAATGACAGCTTTTTTTTAATTAAAGAAGTAAAACACCCATTTTTCTACAGTCATTTTCTTTATCACAGCTTGTAATTCTGAATATAAATTGGCTTTAAAGAGATCTTTCCCCATGCCATGTGGAAGCACCAGCTCAAGCCCTGCAGACATTTTGATTTAATTACATTCAGAGCTGGTGGATTACTCAGCCATTGTGCCATCTGTGAGGGCTGAGCTAGTGATTTCCCCCCATCCTCACAAGGACAGACTTAATTAGACATGAGGCATCAGTTATTGCATCCTCCAGGAAAGGAGCAACTGTGGCAATCGAACAGCAATTTCACCAGGGCCTGTTGGCTCGAGAGAATATTGCTTTCCTCCTCCTTTAACCTTCAGGTTAGGTAGGTCACCCGTGTTAATCGTGTAGCAAAGCCATATGATGCTGTTAAACAAATGAAAGCTCATTTTTTCTTCTCATTTAGCAAAACTTTGCTGTAGTCCTCTTTCATTAAAGTTCACAGTTGAACGGAAATGCTCCAAGACACCCAGCTTGTACAGCGTTGTGATGGAACAATCCTATGCGAGGATTAAATGCTTGAATGATCCTCCGTTTCCAGCAAGAGACTAAAATATCTAAATGTATTCTAACTGAACAATTAAAAAAAAAAAAAAGACACAGGAAAAAAATACACTGTCACACTTCACATAACAGAAGTATAAACAGACTTAGGACTCCAGCCACTGGAATTTGGTATAATTTGGTATTCTTCTCCTCCAAAGCAACAATTCTCAAATTCATCCATCTGTGCTGCAGCACGTGAGAGTGGTATTCCCAGAAGGGGAGTGCAAGTGAGAAAACCAATAACCCAAGCATGCATTTTCATTGTCCTGCATGCAAGGGACCTCTACAGACCCTTATTACTGTTTTCATTTGTGGATTAACAAATCTCACTCAAATCTTTTAAAACATAAACATACCTAAACTGTTACGACAAATACACAGAAGCTATACTTGGTATTTTTGACTCACTATTTGTTAGTTTAGCTAGATATGTATACACGTCTCTAGAAAAAAACTCCACATTGAAAGAAATACTACAGCTTAAAAGGCAGTAGAAGCTAAACATACCCAGATCTCTTTTTATATGTCACTCACAGCTGAGTGCTCCAGATAGCTGGCTTGTTCAGGTAATTGGTATATATGATTCTACTGCTGCTACCAAACTGACTTAATTTTGCAACTGTACCTCCATAGTATGCGTTTTTCCTGATGATGTCTGTCCATAAGCAAAGATTGTGCCATTGTAGCCTTCAAGAACATCTGCATGAAGAAGGAAAACAATTAAAAATCGTATTGATGTCTTAAAGCTGGATTATCAGCATTTCATAAGTCTTCTACAATGTTGAAGCTCAATTAGAAAATAGTTTGCGTGCAATGAAGAATGGAAATAACATGACATAGATAGCTGTCTCTAGGAAAAAAAAAATCATAACGAAATCTAACTCAGAGAATTACAGAATTATTGACATCTCTCACTTTCCTGGGAAAACAATAATCTCTGGACACTAGATACAATCCAATATACCTGTGTAACACAGAAATGCATTTTAAACCATCACATAACATAGAGAAAATTAAACAAACTCATACTTTTTCTACCACTATAACTACAACAGTTCATGGCCTCATTAATTTCCAAGATTGCCTGCAAAGCAGGAGAGCAAAGCAAGAAGAAAGTCAGACAACCAGGAATTTGCTTTATTGAAAATCTACTTCTCTCAAGGCAGAATGAATAATTTTGTATTGCATTAAGATATAAAAATATCCATTTTTAACTTTGCAGTGGTTAATGTCTATAGTAGCTTTCAGAAATCCGGGAGGGTTGTAAACCAGCTGGTTCTTACGCAGAATCCCACATCCATTCATTGTCACTGAAAGGATTAGAGTTGGACTTGCTCCAGGCAAGTGGATTTAAAGTCCTAAGGAGGGGCACCTATTTATGCAGCTTTCATGTAAAAAAAAGAGTAATACTTATTATAGTTGCTAATAAAGAACAAAGGAAACTTTCTATCTAAATCCCAGTGGTGATAACCCCATGCTGCCCCCATCAGCCTCCTCAGAGAGACCCCCAGCGCCTCAAGGGCAGTGGGAAGGATGCTGGCAAGGGTGCTCCGCTTAGGGACAGACACCTTCCCCTCACCACCATGTCCCATGCTCTTGCAGGAGCCAGTGGCATCGTACTTGGCACTGGAGCTCTGCCACGGGCCTCTGGAGCAGAAACACCAAAACTAGGAGGAAGCCAACAGTGAAAAATAAAAGCAAAAGGAAAGCTGGACTCCTGCAGCCTGCAGAGAGGGGACTGAGAGCAGCCACCAAAGCCCAGCTGCCATCTGGCAGGGCAGAAAGTTTCCTGTCCATGGCCACTTCCGAACGCATCTCCTGCTGCCAGAGTTGGCTTTCTCCGCTTCTGAAATACGTTACATTTCCCACCCTCTATAGCTATACTAATAGAGGCTACCAGGACAAAAAAGTATGTGTCTGCCTGTCTTTATAGTAAATACATACACATGACTATATTGACTATATTATATATTATTACATATAATGTCATATATATTACATTTACATAAACACACGCACATATAATCTCCCTATTTGTATCTCCACATGTATGTATGTAGATAGTCCAGATAGGAAGGATAATTAAATAAGATACTTTAGAAAAACATAAAAAGAATGAAGAAGGAACAAGCATGAAAAAAATTCAGAGGAAAAAAAAAACTACAAAAAGGTGATTTCAAAGAAAAGAGGAAAGAGATTTTTTTTAAAGACAACTGCTACATAGACCCACATTTCCTATACAGCATTACTGAGTAAGGATGAACTTGGAACGAAGTAATTTAAAAATACATATTACAATTAAACACAGAGTGTAACTGTTTTAAGTTTTGGTAGAACTATTTTGGGGAGCTTAAGAGGACAGACATGCCAAAGGTTGTATTGGCCTCCACAGAGCATTGCTGGGTAAATTTTTCAAATCTTGAAATCTAGGAGAATGGCAAAGTTAGAGACTATAATTACTGTCATTCTGGTATTAACATTTTGTATGAATTTAGCATCCTCATCTGTTTATAAAAATAGAGACACTACTTATTCTTGCTTTAAGGAAACAAAGTTTAAAATAAGAAATTATAAATAATAATTGCATAGACAAAAAAAAGCAGATGTCCAGCCACAGATGCAGTGCTATCCTGAGTTCATGCCTTCGACCCATTACTTCACCAGCAGGTTTCTAAATAGGGCCAAATTTCATGTTATTAGTATTTCAAAACATTTATTCACCCGTTCTTTTCTGAAGGGAACGTCTCATTGATTTTCAGTTCAACACAGAAGGAACTTGAGTGGAAGGGAAGGGCTGCAGCAACGGTGGCTTGAACGCAGGAGAAACCAGTTGGCGAGCCTCACTGCTGGCGCTCCGGCTGCACTGTGTTCAAAGCCCATTCCCTTGAACTTTCAGGGGTGCAATTTTAACAGCACTTTTTTTTCCAAGGAAACCTCAATGTATACTAAGGAATGTCTTTGGAAGACATTAAAGTATTAACAAGAGAAAATTAGCTGCTTAGCAATTTCCCGAAGATTGTTGATGATTAAAACTTTAAACCAAATTCCGCTAGGAGCTCCACTCAACTTGCACCAATGGGTCTAACTTGGGCGAACCAGCAGAAAGACGGAGTGCAAGACCAAGGAGGTCACAGAGGTGCAGCCAGGGATCTGCAGCGTAAGAGCGGTGCCAGCAGCTCACAGGAAATAGGAGTTCTATCTTGTTTTTTAATACAAAAATATTACTTCCTTTTAAAAAGTTAATCAGATTAATACTAAATTTCAAAATAGCCTATAGGAAAGGCAATGTTTAATGCAACTGTATTTGAAATATTTTAAATCAAAAGCTTACTCGACACTTTTCTTATTAAACACATCTAAGCCCAACAGGGAGGCAGTCATATTTAACTTCATTGACCAGATCCAGTTATAAGTACTCCACAGCTATCGTGTATAAAAGGTTCCATCTTTGTTAGCCAGCAAGGAAAGAAAACATTTCTGTTTGGACTTTTTTATTCTAAACTAAAATCTATCTAGAAGTTGGAAAAGGAAGGTTTGTTTTTCTCTTTAAATGAAAGTCAGCTCGTGTTTGGAAGATGCACAGAACCAGAACCAGAACTTGTTTAGGCACCAAAAAAAAATAGTTGTCCTAGGAGGAATTAAGAAACCTTTGAGCAAACATGTGCAATTCTTTTTTAAAAGTTTCTAAAATACCACCTAGCATCCAAATACCCTTGCAATTCTACCCCAGGACAGTCAAGCACAATCTAGGAGTTCACTACTACTATTTCCAATTTTTGCCAAACTTGGTTAACATTTTAAAAAAAAAAGGTTGAACTAAAAAAAAAAAAAAAAAAGGCTTATTATCTCCAGGTGAATGCAAAATACAATGTCAGCTCTATAGCGGTACACAGCCTAAGGGGAAAATAATCTGATTAAGCAACTGTTATGTAAGAAAATTGCTCAGAATTTGCATCAGTGTATACTAAGATACATCCCTGGTTGAGGAAGCATAGATAAGTAGTTTACCTTCCCAATTAGGAAAAAAATACCTTATTCTATAAAAAAATAGTCCTTCACATCACCCGCAATTAAAAAGGTTGGTGGTCTCAGTGGTAGAAGAGGTTATTTTTGTTGGAAGATTTTCCACCTTAATATAGTTAATATACCATCTGTCAACCAAATAAAGAGAGAAGACAGTTGTTGATAGAAATAGTCTGCACAAAACTTGAGAGCAAGGGAGAGGAGGGGAAAAAACAGATGAACAAAGTGACCAAACAAAGACCAGTTGGGATTTTTACGTAACTCATAACAAACAAAATAAGACCAAGGGCTTTTCTTAATTCCTGGTCCAACTCTCTCTACAATGATTTCAAGTTTGATTTACTCTCCCCACAAAAGCCAGCTACTTGACTCAGCCACTCAACTGTTGCCAGGTGATTTTCCTGACGATGACGGACAGATAGGAGAAGCAGGAACAATCTAAAACCACAGCCCTTGTCTTGGGGCTACAACACAGACTCACGCAGGTTAGGGACCCAGAAAGTCTCCAGCAGCACTGAAGTACCCAGCAGAGCTCTACAACAGGTCACCAAGGGCAGCTGCAGACTGGAGATCTTTCAAACGGACCTCTGACAACTATAGGAGTCAATGGCAAGAAGAAAGACCAAATGGCTTTACAGAATGGCTTTACAGAAGTCCTTTCAGCCTCTTTTCTATGACCAAATGTTTACCTTATACTTATCTTTTACAGCTCTAAACGTTCTGCGACTCAATGTGTGAGGCCCATATTTGTAACCAGAATAGAAAGTCAACAAGCCACCCAGTAAGAGCAACCCCACCACCCAAAAAACCATTAAAGCAATTTTCTCCTCCTCATGCGACACACAAATGCACAGATGTTCACATGTGCACTAACAGGCTCGCACCTCCGGTGCTCAGCAAGAGCTTGGGCCACTATATATTCTCCCTTCAATGTAATTGTAGGAAAGATGCAAAATCCGGATACGCACATCCATCTGTGTAGACTGAGAAGATAAAGCTGTTTTCTGGCAATAGAGAGCAATGGGAAACAAAGGAAAAGTGGTGGCAATTACATACTATTGTTTCCTTTCAGATTTAGCGATATTTCTTAGTTTGGGTAAAAAAATGCAAACACAAGTACCCGAACTGTGGTCATATGCGCTAGTGGTGATTCCTCACACACTTCCACTACTGGTACCTCTGGCCTTGGGAATACCTTGAACAAACACCATTCCAGCTCCCACTCTGATGCAAATCACTGTAACACAGAGATTGCTTCTCGTCCTCTAAAAAAGTCCTTGTTTCTCATGTTTCTCACATATAGAACGTGAAATACTTTGACTTAGTCACTGAGCTGTTTACTTAAACGTAATCCCATTTCTTCTTTAGTGAAAAAAACCCTAATTTTGATCATTCTTATTGTCAACATAGTTATTGTAACCATTGTTTTAGAGACTGTTAGACCAGCTGGCATTTTCTGCAATAACATTAATCACAATGAAACCATCAGCCATTTCGTGGGAGTATAATGAAATCTGATAACAAATGGCAACCTTGAAAAGCTATCTAAAAAAGTCTCAAAGATTTGAATAGTGCTCCAAGTTGTAATGCACTCAGCTCATACTTCCATGTAGTAAATTACATTGTTCCAGTCTATCAGAAACAGCCCAGTCTGTTTCATATTCTTCATTTTATTAGGCTTTAAACTGGAAATTAAACATAAGGAAATGCAAGCCCAGAGCTCAAAAACATCACTCCAGTAACACTGCACTCTCCCTCCCTGTCTTACACTCTCTTTCTCTCCCCCCTCTCCCTTTCTCTCCCTTCTCCTTGCTACCCTTCTTTCTCTCTTTTTTTCCCATTTTTCTTTCTCTTTTCCTTTCTTCTACACCTTTCCCCCCATCAAACTTGCCTTTCAAGGTATCTAGAAGGTCCAAGTTAACACACATGCAAAAGCATGTTTGAACGCTATTTTCAAACAGGACTTTGGGAAGTATTTGGCTTTCTATTTGGTTAATGAAGAAGAATTTGTCACTGATTTAGGTCTTCCAAATTGCTCTCAAACAGAATTTTATTTCTCTCACTATTCAGAGGAAACCAGCTTCCACAGGGGATATAAATACCCTCCGCAAGTCTACAAACAGTGATGTGCTGCTTCTGTCAGCACACACTGTAGTATTGAAACAGTTGCCTCAAATTCCAAAAGTTGAGTGGTGTGTCAGCAACCCAAACTAATGATTTGTAAACTCTACAACTCCAATCCCACCAGTTTTTATTAAAGGCTTACCCGTCTGAAGTCAGAATTGCCATAATTAGGCTCCCTGCTGAGAAAAGGCAACTGAAATCTTATGACTCATTTCCTCTCTCCAACATCAAATAATTTAGCTTCTGGTCCTCATCCCCAATCAACTAGACTACACGTGTGTTGGTTTGCTAGAGGCTTTCCGAACGAGCCAACCAATTTCCTCCAGTACAGAACCCAGGGTTTGCAGCAGGGCTGCTTACTCCTGGGACCTCTCCCCACCAGCAGCACGCATAAGCTCTCAGCAGATCCAGCCCCACGCCTGAAACGCTAGCGAGTCCTTCAACACTGCTCCAGCAGCTCCTGCACCTCTGAGCAACCCCAAATCTCTCATGCCACATAAATCCCACAGCGTTCAACATGCAGCCTTGCATTGCTATAAAAGCACAACTCTGACCAGCTCCGACATCATTCCCACTGTCTGCACACTTTGATTTGAAAACAAAAACAGAGGACCAAATCTTGGGGGACACTGCACAAGGCCAGAGAACAACCAGGCCAGGTACTACCTGCAACCCCTAAGACACTGTAGTAGTTGTAATACCATCATGGATGGACTATCCAGCATCAGAACCAAATGGGAGGTCTGAGGGTGATTTGTGAGGTCGGAGAAGTACAGCAGACAATTAAAATGCACCCAAAAAGTTGGATTCTCAAGTTAAAATCTTGAAATTTCAACAGTTTATGAAGGTTTTGTTTTAAACAAATAGGTGCTATCCAATATGCACTTGGGCTCTCATTTCATTTTTAAATGCAAGCTATCTGCACGCAAAGCAGCTACAAAACCAGTGCCTTCTTTTTTTTCCTTTAATAGCCCATCCTTCCATTCAAAGACACAGCTATTCCACGCTCATCCCATACTGAAGTGTCTCACACTGTATGAAGAACATGCTTTTTTTTGCTTATCGTATATCACAAAAAGAAAGTATTTGTGTGGAATAACAGTCACACACAAGGAGAAAGTAAGAAACAACTATTGCAATTCCTTCTTCTCTTTGTTTGTTTGTTTGTTTTGGGGTTTTTTTGGTTTGGTTTGTTTTTTTTACACAGACAAGTCCTTAAAAAAGAAAATGATTGGAATTACTAATTACTAAACTCCCACATCTAAACATTTATTATCCTGTCTTTAAATAGCTCGAGGGGACAGGGAGACATCTTTTTGTCTCCACCCAAGCAGGAATAAACAAAGACAACACCTACCTTTAACAATCTGCTTGGCACAGGCATTATAAACTTGTTCCTGGGTTGTATTAGGAGGTAACACTCGATCAAAGACATACGGTTTCCCTTGCTGCAAACAAAAGAGAAACTCTGTAAGATAAAGAACATTTAAAACAGTTTACAGACCCAATTTAACAGACATCCTGAAATGCAGCATTTACTACAAAGGAAGCATTCAGTGCAATGGAGACCACAATATTTTGTCGACTAAACAGATGTGACATCTCATGTGCTCCAAACCCATCTTTTCTATAGCTGGCAAATGAAACGCGGCATATGTTTTCTGTGTGTTCACATTTGGGTCAGCAGCTACAGTTGCAGGAAACAATAATCTGAAATATCAGCAATTGAAGGTTGATTATTTTCTCCCTCTCCTAGGAGTTAAGGCGGAATAGCCATATAAATACTAACAAAAGATTTGCTGTTCATTACTGTAAACTAGTGAAAGCTGTGGTGCGAGAAACAGCAATCAGACCCAAGAGAATCAGAGGTTTGCAGGTCCTGAGAGCTGCCTTCTGCTGAGGCTGGGGTGGCCCAGCATGGTCCAAGCACAGTCCCAGCACACTACATGTTCCTTCAGCAGAAATAGCCTGGTTTCATTTCTGTGCTAAACATGCAAACGTGTGTCATTAAAATCATAGGTTAGACCCAAAACAGGCAGCCCAGTCAGACTGTTATGCTGCCCTAAGCTTGTATTTTATCCAGAAATTGTCACGATTTGTACCCTTAGCACCAACAAATAACAGGATGCTGTGTGGAAAGAGCTCCAAAATGACCTCTTGAATGGGATCGGAGCCATTTCCAGGTTGTGAACCACCACCATTCCACCACAGACTCCGAGCTGCCCTAATTCCCAGGTAACACCATGACTGACACTTATTCATATGTATATACGGTGTAGCACAACCTGCACATACACACTGTAAATTTTCATTCCTCTTTGTAGCGAGTATAATTGGTTACAAGAGAAATACGTATTAGCAATCCTAAAAATAGGTTTGCATGACACTTAAAAGGCAAATCGACTTCTAAGACAGCAGTTCAGTTCTTTACAACTCAAAAACAGGCAAGACATCTGCATTTAAAATACAATTCCTTTATTTAAAGTTACACTAAGCGTATGCGTAACATCTTTCTTATCTTCCATCAAATCCTGTAGTATTTCCCTTCGAAGATGTGACACCTGCTCCAAGAACAGCATAACAAGGGCTTCAAAGCTAACTGCGAGGTGGCTGGATACCCAACGTAGGAGTCTTGTTCTGTTGAGTCGACGTGCCATTTCTGCCGTTTGCAGCCAGCTGTTCAAATGCTGTGCTCAATTAGCCATTTTTGTCACACTTTGATTTTCCTTCAAGCAGATCATAAGCTTACACTTGCCTGCTCCTTAAAGTCGGGTGCTTAACAGCCACAGGGGAAATAAGACAGAGAGGTGTTTGCCTGCAATGTATGTTCTTCATGTTGCATCCCAGAATTTCCGATCTCAAGGATAAGAAGGCAATTTATACATCATTTAGTAACGAATTCATGGTTTTGTGCTGGCATGGGGTGAACGCTGGGCCATCCAAGCACCTCACTTCTTAAGACACAAGCACAACGAGGCAACTCAGATTGACATCCCCAATGCAGCCCCAACCCTCATCCACAGCAGCCACAGCCCCCAGGAGAATGGTGGGACTGTTGGGAGCACCCAGCTGGCAACTACCCCAAATTCTGCTCTCCACAGCTTTCCACAGACAGTACACATTGTGTGGCTCTCAGCTAGACAAAGCTCTTTGTTCTCAGGATGAGAAGGGCTGCCCAGCCCTGCTATAACTATTCGGGAACAATTTCTCAAATGGACTTTTTACCTACTTACCCCCATTTTGCTTATTCCAAGCACTAGACAATAAGCTCTAATGCAAGAGGCCAAAAAACACACAGACACACAACCTCAGCCATCCACTTATCCCATTTATTTCCTTCATGCCTGAGTTGAGGCTTATTAGCCAAGCAATGTGAGAGAGTAGCAGAGAGTGATGCCGGTACATCATCCTACCACGGCAAACACAGCACTCCCGGCAAACATTGCTCTGGTGCAATCAATCCAGCTCTTCTACTGAGCTCTCAACAACTATAATGTCAGAGAGCCCCAAAAACCCATCCTATTATAATTGTGCTGCACACGGCTGAAAGAGGCACTGGCTGCAACCATTACTTATCTGTCAAACTGAAAAGCTACAAATGTAAAGCAGCAATTCACAAACGTGCTACATAGGTCAAATTTCTTCCTCGGGATTTTTGTTCTGGGAAGCTAAAAGACTGGAACACCCATCATTGATATGTGAAGAAAATAAATGAACATGAAAGATCACAAAGCATCTGTCACCAACTGCACAAAACAAGAGCCGTCCATTATCAAAGCAGCACTTAACAGTTTTGGGGAAGGTTTTTTAGTGCTTCATCTCCACACTGATCTTAAACAAAGACAACTCAAGGCTCATGCTCCTTTCCACAAAGGAGAGTACGATGAGTGGGCACAGACCTTCTGCCTATCCTCAGTTCAAGCATTTACACTTCTTTTGTTCTACCACCACTTCTCTACCCTAAATCCTCTCAATCCTGCTCAACCCTCTTTTCCCCACCTAGACCGCCATGTGCACTCCCTGTTCTTAGGCTACTTATCCTCCTCCCTCTTTCTTTGTTCAGAAGTTTCTGCTTGGGTCTCTGATGTTGCAGAAACACTGGGCACCTCCTCATGTCACCCCGCTCACCTTGTTCAGCTTCCTGACCCTTCTGTCCCACCAGCTCTCTTTGGAGTCCTCCTCACCACCATCTCCACAGCTCCAGGCTCCTGGTGGCAGGCTGTGACCTTCATCACGTCTCCTCCCAGGTTGTCCCTTACTCCTTCCATGTCCCAGATGGGCAGCCTGCAGACCCACTCTGCATGTATCCCACAGGAGCTCACGCTCAGCTTATAGGGGCTGGAGGAGACCACAACCCCTGAGACACGGAGAAGGTGCTCAGCCTGAAGGAAAGCTGGGGCAATTCAGCTGCCAAGATACTGTTAAGACAGAAGGTTTTTCTCTGGAGCAAACTATGATTTGAGGGTTTTTTTTGGTTTTATTGTTGTTTTGGAAAGTGTTATTGTTATAAGCTCTTAATTTTTGACAGACTTTCCTCAAAGGTAACAAAAGCCATATCCATCCTACAAAGGCAACGTGCTGGCAGATCCAAAGGTTTTGCTCCAAAGCAGACAGGGAAGGTGAGCAAGCATGAATATCACATTTTTAGCATGTTCCCAAGCAGTACTTTTTCCCCTATTGTCACCTTCAGAAATAAGATAACTGTGTTTTGGTGTTTTTTTTTTTTCATGTAACTCAGCCTGAATTAAATACCAGAATCAGGAAGATTTCAGCCTTATTAGCACTTATTCAAGAAAGCAATAAGCAGCTAGAAATAAAGTCTTATTTTCTGAGTTGATGCTAACAGTTTTATCTGTGTGCCGCCTCCATACATTATTTTTCAAACTTTCTCATTATATGCAGTGTATTATCTCTCATACATAAATCACATCTTCCTTCCTATGCCATTACTTCCTACAGCCCCCCTGACAATCTGTTCCATTAACTTATGCCACTGCTGCATAATGGCTAGGATAAGTGCTCCGATCCACCCACACAATTCCTGTTGAAGTTGTATTGACAGCTAGATAGATTCTGTTCTGGCCCTTCGATAGCATGAAGAACACTATTCATATGTATTGCCAATTGCAATTTCACCAGCTTAATGTTCAGTTTCCTATGGAGTTTACAGGCTTGGCATTTAAAAATCTGAGTATTTCACAAGCACAAAAAGAACCTTGACCACAAATGCATGTGCTACCAAAACCATCATTTTACAAGCCACATCACAGAGCAGTGCACTTTAACTAGGAGCTAACGCAGCCTCAATTAAAGATAACTAAATACATTTCCCGTTAAAAAATTAAAAAATCAACTCTCCTAAGTTCCACATGGACAGGAAATGAGAAGTGCTCAGTGCTTACAGCTGCCCGCTAAGAATTAGGAGACTTAATGCAATTTCATGATTAATTCCCTGTGATCTTCAGACATTCGGGGTTGACTCCACTAGCTTATCTGCAGGTTATGATGCTAAGCAAGACAACACCTGACTTCTAGACATCTGAGCTTGGAGACAGAATCCACAGTCCAAGGTCCATCCCCAAAGCACCTTATAAAAACCAGGGATCAGGTGAGATGGCTTAGAACAGAATTTCCAACAGCCAGCATGTAGCTCAGATATATAATTGCTAAAGTAGAAAGGTAGAAGAAAGCACACAAAATGCTGGGTTTCTTTGCTTTTTGGGGGCTGTAAGGAGACATACGAGTCAGATAAGGAATTATAGCCTGAAACCATCCCCTAGAATTAGACATACCGTCCAGATTTATCCCAGGACAGATGCAAGTTTGTTCTGCTTGAGCAGAAAACAGCTGGGAGCATGTTATGTGACCACTGGCAGCTGTGAATATGCCTAGTACAGTTCTGACCCCAAACATACAAGCGGAGGCGAAGCACATTCATACTTGCCTGCAAAAGACCATGCCAGCACATCTTTGAGGGAGGCATTGTTTTGAACGAGACTCAAGGAGAGGTCACACTTTCATTTTTAAAAGATGGCAAACCATCCATCAGTCCATCCAAGGCTCATCTCAGCATGTCCTGATGAGCACAGAAGCACAAAGGCTCGCAGGGGACCCAAAAGGGTAGGGACACCCTGACAGGGCTCCTGCCAAGGCTATCCCTGGAGAGGATCTGCCCCATGGTCCAGGTGTGACGGCCATCAAGATGACTCTCAGGATCAACTTTCAGACTACTTAGGGGTACAGCACACATTATGGGATGCAGGGGAAGAACATTTCAGGATTGCACAAGAGTTAGGGGATGATTAGGGGAGGCAAGGAAAGGGAGGGATGTGAGTGATTTGGAAAGGAACAAACATGGGATGAAGGAATAAAAGCACCAGTCACATAAGCAGGCTGCTGGTCACTATGCTTGTCCAGCCATGTCCCACACCTGGTCAGCACAGTCCCATCTTCTTACTAAATTCCTTTCTAACTCTCTTTCTGGGTGAGGGAGTTAATTCTGTGCGCGTTCATGTGTATGGGGGTCTAAGCACCAGCAACTGAAGTGGGACCACAGGTCACAAGGCCCATGTGTCCGTGTTGCCAGCTGCATCTCTGCGAGAAGGTCTGGAAAGGGGCTCAGCCTCACCTCTGCCAGGCTGCCGGATTCAGCTCTTCCTAACAGCTGACAGTTAGGGCACTCAGCTGAAACGGGCAGAGAGATAACGTATATAGGGTCCCTCTCACTCATCTTAGTCTTCTGTCTCCTCAGAAGGCAGGAATGTTCTTTTCTCCACAACCTGGTCAAATAAAGGCATCCCCTTTACCCCCTGTAAAAGGGGTGCATCAGTCATGCAATCATCAGCCGATCGCTTGGGAAAACTTTTGGTCCCTGCAGAAACAAAACAGTGCCAAATCACGTGGCTCGGTTTATCAGACGTGTCGTTTGGCAAACCATGACTGCTGAAACTCTGTCATTATTATTCTGGCTCTCTATTCAATTGAACACGTTTTATTGACGCAGTTGGAATGAATGATCTATGAGTGGGTTTAACATACCATACAAGATGCCACTGCCAGTACACACAACGGATGAGTATACAGGTAATAGAATCATGCGATACGTAGGAGCTTAATTAATGGGAAATTATTTCCCAGCTAGTTTTCACTACCATAAGTGCTCTTGTAGGAGACGTTTTATAAATAAAAGGTATATAATTGCAGGCCTGGAAGACAGAATTTTTCAAAGAGCAGAAAGCAAACTATTACCAGCGGCAATTCAATTTTTCAGTCGAAGCACATCCCTCACACAGCACTGAGTTTCTCCCTTGGAAGATGGCATAAAACACATTTCTTCTCTCTAACCTACAATAGTAGGAATTAAAGTCTTTACTCCCTTTCAAAATGTAGAGGCCACATGTACTGAACGCTGCATCAAACTTGTTCCATTCGCAAGTGAGGTAAATAGCTGGCCCTGCAAATTTCCCCTGGAATTAGATAGAACTAATTAGATAGAAGGACTTATTTTCCCCACAAGTTATAGAAATTCTGCAACTACAAGGTTGTTACTAGTTTGCCGATAAAGCATAAGAGAAAACAGGACCTATCTCATTCTCCTGAATCCATCTCTCTCTAGTAAGGATTGAAAACATGAGGATTAGAGCAAGAGAATAAATGCATGTTAGCAAAACAGTTACATTTAGTTATTATGTTTTTCCTTTGTTCAGTCATATTGACTAAGGAAATGCTACTGCCATCCCACCCATTTTCCACATTATCTTACCCTGTTAAAACATTAGCACAGCAGCAATTCACCTAGGAGGTGAGAACTGAGAACACCTGGGATAAAAAATGTAAGGAAATTTATTCAGAATAACCTAAATACACTACACAGTAAACCCAAGTTCTCCAAAAGAAACACTTAAATCTTGGTAATAGTCCTAAAATTCAATTGGAAAATAAATTAAAACAATCAGTCGTGTATGAACAGGCACTGCAGAGCAATTTGAGTCAAACACAGCATTACTTTTGCAGAGCGGGCTTAATTATTGATCCACCTTATGAATATTTCTGTGGAGCTGGTGGAATTTGGCATGTGGCCAGCGATCCACTTTTAGCTTTCACTCTCAGCAGAAATAACCTTTAACTTCTTGCTATAAATCCTGTTTTCAGAAAGCATTATTTTATTTTGGTATAGATCTGCAATTTAGGAAACCAAACCTCAGAAATTATTTTAAAGCTTTTCTTCCACCTAGATGCATGACCTGGAAAATACAATCTTTAAGAAACTTTATATGAATTTTAAGTATAAAGATCTCCCAATACATAGCCAACTATTAAACAGTACTCTTTGGCAACATTTTTTGGTACTTCTGACACAGCAATACTCAGTCACAGCTCTCTATTATTATTTACTTGTATCGGTGCAAGCTAGTCACCGCTGTCCAGAGGATGAGAGGGACCCAGTGTGTCCAGCCACCACAGACCCTGCAAAAGCTCTAACCCCTCACTGGCACTTCTCAGCCGATCAGATGGGATGTTCCCAACATAACGCTAGTCACAAAAATAAAAAGGAGTGCAAACCATTTCCCAGCCCCGAGCCTGGCCATCAGATGATAAACTGCAGGCTGACAGACTCCTCACAGCTGGGAGGAAGGCTGGGGTAGGGGTCTGGAGAAGTGGTGTCCCAGTGCACCCATGGCTCAGTAGCTTCGTCACCGCTGGAGGCTGCAGCCCAGCTGGAGCACCCACCAACACTGTGGAAAATGGCACCTCTTCTTACTTGAGGGCAACTGACTTGTTCCTCCTCCTCTTCCAGGACTCCCCAGTACCGCGTGGCTCAGGAACAGGACAGGGAGGCGGAAAGGCCCCAGGACACAGCCTCCTCCAGGTCCTCACCATCCTCATAGCTCCGCGGGCAGACGGGTGCAGGCAGCCTCGGCAGGGGAACTGCCCGGTCAGCAACTGAGCACCCAGCAGCACCAAGCACTGCGTGTGGATGCTGCGGTACCGGCAGTACTTAGTCCGCACATCCTTTGGTACTCCTTCCACAGCACAGCCTAATGCCATTGGGATTAGCACCATCCTTCCAGCCCACCAGCGCTCTGCACGCCACGCAGCAGCTTGCAGATTTGGGCCTCGATTACTTAACTGCTTATGCAACTGCACAAAACTGGGTATTTGGAGAGCAGTGTTATCCTCCTGCAGTTAAATTTAATCTCTGAAAAGATGAATCTATGCTAACGATCATGGGAAAAATTATTTCATTTGGTGCTCTGTACAGCAGTAGCTTAAGATGTGCATTATTCCCCCTTTCCTGGGTCTTCCACCCCACATTAAGAAATCAAGAAACCTTTTTCACACTGGTGTTTTGCAAAATTGTTTCTTCCACCTTTCCTCACAAAACTGTTTTAAGTAGCTACATTATTTTATGTTCAGCAGACCTCTCACTTTATCATAGGTGTAAAACCATCAGAGTGAGGAATTGGACATAGGCTACTGCAACGGTCCGAGGAGAAACAGAAGAACGTCGTCCCCTGCACCATCCCTCTGGCTTTAAGGCAGCTTGCACCTCTGTATTATGTGAAACAGATAACTACTGGTTTAATTTAATGTGCTCTATCTAATTTAATCAACCTTTTCAGGCCTATTCAAAGCTACCTTCATAATCTACTCATTTTACTTCAGCAAAGCACAGACAAGCTTAATTAAATTAACTTTAAAATGCTGTCACTTGCATTACAGATAAAGATGCTCTCAACATCAGAGGTTCTTAAGTAAACAGAAATCTTGCAAGGATATTTAATACATAATACTCCAAGCCACAGTTGTCACACGGGGTCCTTGTCTCACCTGCTTTTGAGATCTTCCACCTTCAACAGACACCTTACACAAGAGGCTGAGTGGTTCTAGCTGCTGGCTAGGGTTAAACCATGACACCCTTCTAGCAACAAAGCACTCAACGAGTTCTGAAGGTAAGAATTATCAAAATTATCCAAAATTTCTCCCATTTTATCAGGCTCCAGCATTTCAACGAAACTACCCTACTCGCTCACATCAATAGGATAAGGGAATTTGGTAATTTCTTTTGTATATAAAACCATACAAACTAACAGTTTAGAAAGAAAAAACAGAATAATATTCTTTGTAGAGAAAAAGAGAAAGAAATGTACCATAATTATAGAAGCCCGAGACTCCACTAATTAAAGGTCTTGTGATTTTAGTAGCAGTTGAGAATGAAAAGAGAACAATGTATTAATTGTCTATTTTGTAAAAATGCAATACTTCGAAATTGGGTTTATGCTACCTTTTTTTGTTATTTAAAGAACACTATGATTTTCTTTGAACATATATAAAAATTTCCTAGCCAGAAAAATATGTAGTAATACCTATACTCAGACAGCTCCCTGCAGCAGCAATGGAAGACGAGTCAGACAAGGTCATGGTCATGGATGGGGGGCCATGGGAATAAGTTATGCATAGAACAGCATCTCTGCATATCATCAGTGTTTATAATATTCCAACAAAAGGCAAAAAAAGCTAGGTGCATATTTCAAAACATGAAATGAAGCCGTTTTGGTGAAGTAAGCGTCCCATGTAAGACGCTGATCTTCAGCTCCACCTAGAGAAGAGAAGCGCAACATAAACCAGCCCCGGTTCAAGACGTAACTACATCTTAATTCTGCCGTGGCAGTGTTGTGTTAATCTCCACTTTGTTAAACATATCGCTTACAGATTTATGGGGCAACTGGGTGGCTCAGGAGATTAGTAATGGGATACTGAGCACTGTCAGTTGTAGATTCAAATCCACCTCAGGTCAGGAGAGGTCAAAATAAAATGAGAAGGCATCACTGGTCCGGAGAGCAGCTTTCTTTTCAGCATGCTCCGCAAAACCAAGGATTGAAGGGGATCACAGAACAAACTACACCATTGGCCATGGAGCATCCCATCAGGCTGGATATATATTGGCAAAAAGAAACAAATGAGATGCTTGCACCTCACTGCCTGCATTGTACGGTATTTGTTCTGCAGAGAAAGCACTTCACAAGCATAAAACAGTCACATTTGCAGCCGGGCTATATACTCATTCAGTCTCCTGGGGATTAATCCAGAGGCACTAATTTATTGTGCAACTGAATCCTGAGGATGGAGTTCCTGAAGGGTCTTGAAACCACCCAGGTAATCCCAACAGCAACAAGCCCAGACCCCAGCAGCCAGCATACACAGCAAGTCTGGGCACATCTCTGCTCCCCAAACTGACTCCCTTCATGCTGACCAGTACGGAGCCGAAATGCCATCTGCATGGTGGAACACCATGGTGAGAACATGGTTCTCTGCTGGGGGCACGCTCCACCAAACAGGCTCATCCCATAATCACTGGTAGGAAACTGTAGGACCAACAGCAACACTGGTACATGTAGATTATTTTCCTCTGCACTTAAGAACTGAAAGATCTCAAGTGCTCCAAAGCCCAGACTAGTAGCGTCCAAGACAGGTGAGAGAGGAAGATAGCAGATCCATAATCTAATGGAGTAACTGTACTCCCAGAGATCTGGAAATATCCCTCACCCCTTGATACCTTGCTGGTTGAATGTGTTCCTGATTCACTGGAAGACCAGTAACAACAACTTAGCCTTGCTTCCTCATTTACAAACTGAGATGCTAAATGCCAGGAGCACTGGGAGCTTGAATGTTTACTGACCTGATGTTGTAGCAGGAATTTAAAAGCATACAATATAACAGAAATGCTATCACTAGTCCACCCCAGCCTCTTTTCATGCAATGTAATTAAAAACATATGCACTGAAAACACATCAGAGAATTAAGGAAGGAGACAGCACCACTACTTCTGTACTTCCCTCAACCTTTTCCATTGAAAAGTGATACTTAAAAGAAGAACTGAAAGGGCAGCAAACTGTGCGGTGCTGTATCTAGTTTTATCTATAGAGATATTTGATGCACAGCTGCCCTGGCATTACCTTCTATTTTTTAGCTTGACTGTTTGTAGCCTAGATTCGTGTTGTATATTGGAAATATTCAGCCCTGCATCTCAACGACTCTAGTAACAGCTACAATTTGAGCATGGAAGAGCCTTCACAGAAGCTCAGATGTCGAGGCAAGCAGAGCAATTACCCTGTCACCAAGTAATGCAGACAAGTTGCTCCTGGCAACAAACCTCTTCAAACACGGACGGAGAACAGCATTCACAGAACAGAGACCCCATGCGCGAGTGCAGCCATTTTGATGAGCTTTTGTGCACCCGCCACGTCTCTCCATTCTGGTACTGTGGACTCTACAGAACCTGGTGCAGACCCATTACTGCAAGTTCTGTGCTTCACTCATGAAATGCATGTCTAAAAGCTTATTTAATAAGGACACGGAGCGATTAGATCTTCCAGGAAGGAGCACGCAGGAAATGCGGCGCTTCATACAGCCTTTGATTCCCACTACAAAATCGTTGACCTCCTTTCGCTCTGGTATCAGTTCCATTGATTTCTTTTACTTTTTCTTCTGATTCTTATCTCGATTTGCCCAGTTTCTTCTCCCCCTACCATTTCACCCAATTTAAGACATGCCGGGGCGGAGGAGAGAGGAGGCAGGTCCCCTTTGGGAGGAACAAAGCCACCCAGCACCAGCCAAGCGCAAGCCCGGTCACTCGGAGCTCCAGCTCTAGGCTGCACGAGCACCAGTTCCTGCCATCCATATCCTCTGCATAGAGAGGAACCTGCTTACTCCCACACACAACCTTACAACCAACAAGCTTCTGCTTCGTGGCTTGTTGCACTGATTTCCTTATATATCTCATGTCATTATGTGGTGGGAAAAAAAAAAAAGGCAAAAAAAAATAAAAGCAGAACTCTCAGTTTTACCTGATATGTCCAAATCTCATAATTTACCACCAATCATCTGGTCTTCCTCAAGCTAGAGCATTTAGGGCCAAGTAATTATGCAAAAATCACAGTTTTTAATAATATAGAAAAAATAAGGATTCTGTCTCTGATATGGTGGGGGCTAGGAAAGCTTAAATAGGAAACTGTTAAATAGAGACCCCAATCCTATTTGTAAAACCCATACCTTTGTGGCAGCAGGGTCATGATACTGCAAGTGCTTGATTTGGTAATACTCAGCAACCCTATTCCAGTACAGGCACTCTTATTTGTACCTCTAGTTCATAAAAATCACATTAGGTAATTAGATAAGTAGATACAAAAAAAAAAATCATCCTTACAAAACCATTGCAAGCCCTTCCAAACTAGAATTACTGCCTCCTCCATTTTTGCAACCAGTTATCAGGAGGAAAACAGAGTATTTAAGAATCTGGTCTTTGCATTTCTGATAAGTTAATCCATCACTGATAAATTAAGTCAATCATCAAGAAATTTACAATTGTTTAAATCTCATTCGAAATTCAAGTGGAACTGGTTCCAAATGGCTTTGCATTTGGTAGCGAGAATATCTATGCCAACTTGTCCCATACTGAGAAATTTGTGGTGACAAGTTGTGCTTTCCTGGACAGCTTGGCAAAGGGGTTCCGATTGTGTTACACAGAATAGAGCTCAAACTGTTACACAAACAATATGAATAAAAGTGATGTTATAGAGCTAGTTAAAACACACACACACAAAAATACACACACACACACACACACACACACACCCCCCGTAAACTTTGCAGGAACAAAGAGCTGCAGAATTTCTTTTTTAAATGCACTGCTTGGACCTTATTCGGCAATTTTTGTTTTTTTAAATGCAAAAATAGATTTTCTGGCTCATAATCCCCTCCTGTGCCCTCCCTGCAGCTAGAAATGCATTACAGCTTACATATACAGCACATCTCTTCTTACAGCACAGCAATGACATCAGCAGACCAGCCCCACTTTCTGCTAAATTATCCAGAAACAGGCAACGCTGGCTGGAATTATCTGGCAGTAATTCTATTATCAGCTTTAGTAATGCTGACACATTCCCTCTGCACTTCCCAAATCTTCAAATCAGAGTACAAATCTGGCCTGCCACACTCCGTTCCCATAGTGTTCCAAAGGCACCAAAAGTGACCATGTTAACGCTTAT